GCCAACTGTCTGAACTCCATCAAACATGGTGTGGTAATTGTGGAAAGTGGGTAGGAAGTGTCTTATGATATGTTGTGCGGCCACTTCGCAGCCATGCGGTTCGGAAAGCGGTCTGGAGTGTGGCAGAGGTTGGGTAGTGGAGGTCGGCTGCTAGGGTTGGGTCCCTTGGGGTGGGGAGGGATCTCGCCCACCCCCCTCTGGGGTGCCCCGAGTGAAAACAGCCTGGCGCGGAATCTCTACTCTGGCTTTACATTCAGGAATCACTCCTGGCTGACTCAGGGAACCTCCTGGATGTTGGGGATTGAACCCGGGTCAGCTGCGGGCAAGGTAAGTGCCCTGCCTCCTGTACGATCATTCCAGTTCCTTCTCCCTATACCTCCTATACCTAATCTCACTATCTACTTGTAGAATAGTGCTAAACCTTTTTTGGGGGGTGACATTTCTATGCTGTACTTAATTCATTAACAATAGTAACATTTGCTGTTTCTGAAGTAGCAGTAAACCATCTCTTTAAATGGTATAAAACATTCCTAAGGACTAGACATAGATGAATCAGCACAAGTTACCCAGAGCACAGTGAGCCATGCAAACTGAGTGGGGGGCTGGGGCCTGCACACACAGGCTCCTTCTGGCTCAGCTAGCCTGTCAAACTGCCCCTGGCACTGCCAAGGGGAACTGGCCTGCCTCCACCTGGGCAGGCAATTCCCCAGATGTCTGTGGAGTCAGTGACCTAGAACCCATTTTATAACCCACACTAAATGTAGAGAACAAGAACAAGTGTCCATATCCACAACTACAACAGGCTCTGTTTAGTACCAGCCACACCTGAAGCCTGACACGTGGTCGTGCATTTTACCGATCTCAGCCAGGATCCTGGTGGGGGTTATGCTAAGAGTCCTTTCACATTTCAAAGATGTGCACGAAGTGTGGGCTCTGAGCCTCACTCCCGGTGGCTCACAGAGGCCTGTGCTTCCAGAAAATTAATGAGATCACATTTCTAGAACCACAGGGCCACAGCCAAATAGCAGAGAATGTGCATGTCACCTTAAGCTCTGGGACAAGGAAGTAGCATTTTTGTAACTGAAAGGATTAACAAGTAGACTTTCAAGTTGCAAATTAACAGAATTATAAAAAGCTACCAAGCTGTGAAGGCAGGAGCAGACTTGCATTAATAGTTTGACATGACTGTTTCCAGCGAAAGCTCCAGGAGGCACCCGGAGCTAGCGCCCACCATATCTTGGTGCTTAAGAGGCGGAAGTTTATCTATGGGATCCTGTCTCACTGGCTGGCGGGCAATTTAACACCTCATTAGGAAAACAGGTATTCTCCAGGGTTTACTTTTGGGAGGCTGGCCCCAGACATGGGTGATAGAGTAGATAGCTTTCCTTGACTGCTCTATGCAATTACAGGTGATAGGAGGTTTGCAGTTCACATTTTTTAAAAAGAGACACAGAAAAAAAATCACAACAGAAGTTGACATTTCTAGGACTTTTATACCAAAGAAGATAATATCTGGAATATTTAGTAAAGTCATATAAAATATGCATGCTTCAGAATGTTTGACAGAGCACTTCTGGTTAATTACTGAACTCTGGCAGTAGGTATGTCTTATCTACCTTCCTCATAGTTTCCTATAAACTAAACTCTCCCTCCTCCCCTCCCCTTTTTTTTGGCACACCCAGGGTGTTTAGTGCTTATTCCTGGCTCTGTGCTCAGGGATCATTCCTGGAGGGGCTCATGGGACCATATGGGGCTTGAACCCTGGCTGACCACTTGCAAAGCAGACTCTTTATCTGCTCTGGCCCTCACAAACTGGCATTTTTTTGTTATTAGCAATCCTCTATTTTACATATTTCATAGTTTTTCAGAAAAGTATACAATTTTTTAAATGCCCTCTTGGAAGGAGCTATGCTAGCATGTTCGACTTCCAAACCCCCTAATTTCTGAGACACTTGGCTGAGACTTGTTACTTACTGTGCAGTGTGAAACAAATGTTCCAAGTTGCCCACTGACTATCAGCCCTCTTTTTCCCTCCCGCCAGGCCCTCCCCAGCCTTGATGGAATCTGCCCAATTACTACAACTGCTGACTAAATGCTGCGGGTGCCATTGAGATGACAGAAAGCAGCTGAAAGGATGCTCAAGTGTATACTGTCAATCACCGTATCTCAAGCAGCAGCGGTGGTTTGGGTACCCCAGCCAACGGCATTCTAAAGTAAGCGCAAGTGAACCGGGCAAGGTAGACTGGAGATGGCCTCAAAGCCTGCACGTTCTAAGAAAAACTGGTCAACATGGACTTAAAGTGCAACCTATTTCTAAAGCTAATTTTGCAAATAGTATTTTTTTTTTTTTTGGCTTTTTGGGTCACACCCAGCGATGCACAGGGGATCGCTGGTCGCCTGGCAGTGCTCAGGCGACCATATGGGATGCTGGGAATCGATCCCGGATCAGCTGCATGCAAAGAAAATGCCCTACCCACTGTGCTATCGCTCCAGCCCCAGGAAGTTATTTTCAAATCACTCCACTCATTCATTGCTTGAGCTCAAATTGTTAAAAAGAAAAAAATAAAATTTAAAGTTGATTGGATGGGGACAAAGAGTTGGCCAGCAACAGCAAGGAAATGTGCCTGTTCCCTCAGAGATGCCGAGGCTGACCTCTAAAGCAGCTGGCCCCAGTCATCCCCACAGCCCCTTCTCCTTTACCCAGGGCTTCAGCATAATGTGAACTTATATGCCGATTCTAATTATACACCTGTAGCTCTGTAGCACTGTCCTCCGGTTGTTCACCGATTTGCTCGAGCGGGCACCAGTAACATCTCCATTGTGAGACCTGTTATTACTGTTTTTGGCATATCAAATACGTCACGGGTAGCTTGCCAGGCTCTGCTGTGAGAGCAGAATACTTTCAGTAGCTTGCCGGGCTCTCCAAGAAGGGTGGAGAAATCGAACCTGGATCGACCGCATGCAAGGCAAATGCCCTAACACAACAGAGTCATAAAAAAAACCTGCCGGGCTGGAGCAATAGCACAGTGGGTAGGGCATTTGCCTTGCACGCAGCCGACATGGCCAACACAGGTTCGATTCCCAGCATCCCATATGGTCCCCCGAGCACCGCCAGGAGCAATTCCTGAGTGCATGAGCCAGGAGTAACCCCTGAGCATCACCGGGTGTGACCCAAAAAGCAAAAAAAAAAAAAAAAAACCTGCCAGATAATCTTTGCTCTTATGCCTAGTCTGCTATGCAACAACAAATTTAGAGCCGAATCACAAAATGGATGGAGCCTGAGCCCTGAGTTCCTGTCAGGAGTTGGCTCCTCCTTCAACCTTCTGAGGATTGTGGCACAAACCAGTGTCTCAGAGGATCCAGATCCTGACATGCTGGGTTGTTTATGATCGTCACCAGCATCACTTTAAGAGAGGTAGGTGCCTGGGGCCAGAGCAATAGTACAATGGGTAGGGCATTTGCCTTGCATAGTTGACCCAGGTTCGATCCCTGGCATCCCATATGGTACCCTGAGCACTGCCAGGAGTAATTCCTGAGTGCAAAGCCAGGAGTAACCCCTGAGCATCGCCAGGTGTGACCCAAAAAGAAAAAAAAAAAGAGAGAGGTGCTTGGGTTGGGGAGAGACAGAATTAAGTAAAAACAAAGATGAGAATATCGTATAAATGGTACAGTACCATCTGCTTTTTCCAAATGTTCAGCAGCTCTGACCTCAACTATTGTGCTAACATAGATTTGGCAACTTTTTCAATACTTAGGGTCATCCTTTTTCGTTTCCTCCCCGCCCCCCCCCCCCCAAATCTACTCGTCAGTTTGATTCAGTTTTGTGGTCATGCCTGGGGGTGCTCAGGGCTTACTACAGGCTCTATACATAGGTATCACTCCTGGCAGGCTTGGGGACCATCTGGGGTGCCAGGAATCAAACCCAGGTTGATTATGTGCAGATGAAGGAAGTGTCTTCCCCCTCCACTTCATTTCTCTGTTCCTAAGTCCACTGGTAAGTCTTTGGGTTTGTTTGTTTTTGTTTTTTGGGTCACACTCAGTGATGCTCTGAGGTTATTCCTGGCTTTGCACTCAGGAATTACTACTGGCAGTGTTAAAGGTTAAAGGTTAAAGGTGCCACATTCAAGGCTCTTTCAGAGTTAGGAGAATGAGACCCTTCACTGTTACTGGTATTTGGCATATTGGGTACGCCACGGGGAGTTTGCTAGACTCTGCCGTGTGGGCAGGTTACATTCGGTAGCCTGCCAGTTTGTCTAAAGTAGGAATGAGAGGATAAGATGTTGCGTGGCCGCGAATGCGGCCTCACACTTCTGGGGGTTGGGTTTTAGTCTCTGAATCTTGGCCGTTGGTGGGAGTACACAGCGCCAGGGGGCCAGTTGGTGGGTGTGACCCCCACCTACTGGAATTTGGAGGATCTGGGTGGAGGATACCCAGCCCCAATCCGAGTAGACTTGGAGATCTCGGCCCTGGAACCCGCGTGGCTTTGTTCCTCTGCCGGTACCTTCATGTGTGCGGAGAGTGGTCTCAGCATGGTGGTGGCTGGTTCTGGAGGTCTTCGGCTGCCGGAGCCCTGGTCGGGGCGGGGAGGAAAACTCAACCCGCTCCCCTCCAAGGGGCCCCGGCGAGGACAGCCAGGCGCGGGGGCAGGAGACTCTGCGCTGTTGTCTTCTGGGAGCTGGGTTTTATAGTCTTGGTACAGTATGGTTTTAATATTTTAAGACTTAAAGTTGTATTTAAGATTGTGTTCTAAAGCAACTGATGAGAAGAAAAGCTTTTGCTAAGGCTAACATCACTTAGCAAATACATTTAGTAACTGAAAAAAATGTTAAACAGTCTAACATTTTCCTAAAGACCAACTGAAACTAATATATCTAAATCTGTCCAAATGGTAATGTAAAGTTCAAAACCACTCACTCCTCCTGCTCCTCGCTTACCTTGCCCTGATGTCCATGATCCATGACATCACTATAACAACAAAAGTACAAAGACAAATCGACTGATAAATTATATATTACATGTTTATTAAGGGGCACAACTTTTATGTAAAATTTACACTTTGTGAAAAAATCAAAAATATTTACAAAATTTGTAAGATAGATTTATTCTAATTACAACTCAAAGTAGTAAATAACAATTCTTGAAAACTCACATTTGTTAGAGTTCTGTGTTTACAAATTCTTGGTTAAAGAGGCAGCTACAAAATTTGTCACTATACATAAGCAAGAACCAGCTTGCTAAATATATTTCCATTGAAAATCTACTGTTCTTTTTTACACCATTAGTGAACTTTTAAGTGGAAAAGAAATCAATATAAACTTATATGGCTTCACATGGCTTCAAAACTGTAACCTACACCCAAGGCAAATTTATGTATCACCCCTCGGTATGAAGACTGTGGTAATTAACAAAGTGCAGAAGTTTAACCATTTCGTTAATGTGTACATTTTTGGGTAATACTTGATTAAAAACAAACATGGTGAGTATAATGGTGTCTGAATTCCAATAATAAAACATTAACTGCCCAATAAAAGCAGTGTGACTGCAAAGCAGTTGCAGTTAAGATTCCAGTAAAGGACTGTTATTGGCATTTAAAAGAGCACAACAGAAGAGTCAGAAATTCTAATCTTACTCACTATTTAGTAAAGATGAGTATTTTTGCAAATTATCTTATGTGTTCCTTTAGTCAAATCTAAATTTAGAATTGGGCTAACACTGAATATATAGAAAGCACATACCGTGTTATAAATATTGCTAATGAGTAGATTTTCTGCTGTTTTTAGTATAGCAAGACATTACATAAATGTCTAGTATGGGTTTTATTTTCTGTAAAGCTTAACAGAACATTAGTGGTTTTATATAAATTATTGTATATGACAAATTTATTATTTCTACTATGGAAAATGCAGGACACTGGTATTAATCCTTATAAATAAAACACCATTTGTAAATTGTAACTCTGTCCAAAACATTTAATTCCTTCAATTACTCATGACTTGCTATAAAGTTAGGTTTATTTTTACTACTTAATATTAGTTTAAGAAACGCTTCTTCCAATACTTAAAATACGTTCCCTATTTTTAGCAGGTAGCAACAAAAAGAATAAAGACATACAAACTAGTCATTTTTCCAGTGGTTGAAATGAAAACAAATGGTGATATTTTTCTCTCTAATGCCAACTCTTTCCTAAAACACATTCCTCATAAAACGTAAAAGTCATGCTCTCAACACATTAAGTATATAAACGCATAGATTTCCAATGATAAGAGTGAAGGGAAATATTAAGATGCCAGTTACCAATTTATCCTTATAGCCTGTCCATCAGTTCCTCCCCTTGTCCCACCAGAACCACAAATTAATCTGTTTTAAGAATTACATACTTTTGATAAGATTCAGGTCCAAGAAGGTAATCTTCCCTGCCCACTTAAATAGATGCCATTAGGTACTTTTCTTTCTTGTGGCTACAGTGTATCATTATCGCTAAAGGAGTGAGCCAGGACTTTTAAGTATAAATTATTTTTACTCTGAATTTCCTTCCTAACTCTGCAGCCAAAGGATATTTACAAAAGTTGCAAATCTGGGGGGGGAGGGGGGAGCATGACCACAGTATGATTCTGAATAGAAGATCCAGACTGTGAGGAAAAAAGTGAGGCACATTAATGAACACAAACTGGATAGGCACATTTCTGGTATTTGTTAGTTTTAAAAGGCACACATTATGCAAATCCATATAAAAATAAATTAAATCTATAGCATTAATTCATCAAAACAATCACAACTTCTATAAAGTTAACTAACTGCAGAATTAAGTTTCTCTGCTGTCTTTTGCAAGCTTATTTTTAAAACACATTGCACTTGGAAGATTTAAAAAAATCATATAAAATACCATTTACACTTTATTAATGCTTAAATGATAATCAAATTATAAATTTTTGCATACAACTGAAACTCTGGTCTGATTAATTTTATGGCACATAACTCAATTTGATTGAGTATTCTAAAATTAACATCATCCAAAACTTGGAATTCACATTCTCTTTGTATCCATTCAAATCAAACTTAGTAATTTCAAAGTGATCTGACTCTAAAAATTTATGGAAAGCTAAATTATTTTGTGCTTGCTCTCCTGAAATTTTAGGCCTGATATTACATTATAACCTTTTTAAACAGACACACTGAAGGTAATTTGAAAATTCAGCCTATGCAAGCTCCATTTTACTGAGAATCTGAATGAATGTGCTTCCTGAATTATCGCAGTTGATCATTTACAGCATTGAAAAATCACCTCAGTGCTATTTCTGTCAATGACTCACTTCAAAAGTGCAATTTCATGTTTGTAGTCAGCTTTCAAATATGTCTACGTTTCAGAGACACAATGCAGGTTAGAATAGTGTTTGAAAAGAACAGGTGATGCAGAGCGGCAGAGCTGTCCTCCTCCCTGGAGCCAGCCACTTTCTGGGTCCATCAGCAGTCAGCCAGGTAGCGTCCTGCAAAACACCAAGCAGCCCTCTGCAGTTACCATTCCCCACGGCACCGCAGGGTCTCCTCACAGGTGCTGCCCCCTCGGTACCCTGAGACAAAGGGGATTTCCGAGTGCCAGAGCTTCCCTGGCAGACAGAGAAGCTCCAGGCCTCCCGGCTTACCAGTGGCAAACCGCTTCTTCACCAAGGACAGTCGGTAGCCGGTGCCCACGAGCTCGATGTCCACCCCAGAGAGGGTGTTTCCCTCACTGAGAAACTGCACGGCCAGGGTGGCGGGCTTGCCGGGCCCTTCGGAAAGGTCAAATTTTGCCCTGAGGGATCCAGAACCTACACGAAGGAGAAAAAAAATAAAGATAACTAATAAATTAATAAGTGCTGCTACTACTACTACACAGGTAACAGACAATTTCAAGCCAGAAATAAGTCAAATGAGCAAGTCAATTCTCGGTTCTAGGTTACAGTCATGACAGGTACCCAGTAAAACGATCACTGTCCTTTCTTCCCCAAAGGAGACTTTTAAAAACGAATCCGCATTTTCATTAGAGTCCACTTTTTTTTTTTTTGGTAAATCCAAAAAACTTTATTTTTTATTAGATCACCATGAGATAGTTAAAAAGCCTTCACGATTGAGTTTCAGTCATACAATGATCGAACACCCATCCCTCCACCAGGATACATTCTCCACCACCAATGTTCCCAGTATCCCCCTCACCCCCACCCCGCCATCCCCATCACACCTACTGCCTCTGTGGCAGACAATTTCCTTCTTACTCTCACTTTAATTATGAGCATTATGGTTTGCAATACAGATACTGAGAGGCTATCATGTTTGGTCCTTTATCTACTTTCAGCACACATCTCCCATCCTGAGCAATCCCTCCAACCATCATTGACTTAGTGATCCCTTCTCTATACCAGCTGCCTTCTCCCCCAGCTCTTAACCGGGGGCTTCCAACTGAGGAGCAAGGGCAAGGGACACTTCTCATTGAAGTCCTCTTGATCTAGGCTTTGTTATGTCCTCTCAATCTCTAGAGGTATTTATTATTTTGATTCCTCTGCTATATACATGTTGAAGTGTTTTAGAAAGAAAAAAAAAACTCAATGAAGGACAGCTCTGAGGGGCATCCTAAGAGAGACAGAGAGAAAGCTGAAGGGAAATGCTGAACACGGGGGGGGGGGGGGGGGGAACAGAAGGAAACACAGCCAGGGCTGTCGTGCTATTTTCTAGTCACCTATATAAAATTTAATTATCCTAACATTATTCAAAACAGGCACTTCTGAGACTCTTGGTCTTTGATATAACCATTTATTCAACATACCTTAGGCCAGCAGCATGAGAGAAAGAGTAATCAAATAATTATGATGATACATGCTACAAAAAAGGCTCTCATGGAAGAAGTGTCTGTCACAGAGGCAGGCTGTGGTGAAGGGTCTGGGGGCCAGCTGAGGGAAAATGGGGACACTGGTGGTAGGAAATGTGCACTAGTGAAGGGACTTGGTGTTGGAACACTGTATGACTGAAACCCTTCATGAACAACTTTGTAACTGTGTATGTCACTGTGATTCAATTAAAAACAAACAAACAAAAAAAGCTCTCATGAGTCATGTGCATGAAAGCGCAAAGAATATGAGGGTGAGGTCTCCGGCAGAGGAGACAGAGCACAGAGGAGGGAGGGGGCAGGGTGAGGTGAGAGAGCCGCATTTAGACTCTCTAGGAGCTGAATCCAATACAAGCGAGGGTGTTTCAGGAGAGGACAGATGCAAGAAACTGTAGACTGCAGCACTGTGCTCCCGTTGTTCATTGATTTGTTTGAGCGGGCACAGTAACGTCTCCATGGTGAGACTTGTTGTTACTGTTTTTGGCATATCGAATACGCCACGGGGAGCTTGCCAGGCTCTGTCGTGTGGGTGGGATATTCTCGGTAGCTCGCCAGGCTCTCCGAAGGGACAGAGTAATCGAACCCAGGTCAGCCATGTGCAAGGCAAATGCCCTACCTGCTGTGCTATCACTCCAGCTCATGCAAGGAACAAGTTCCAAGTATCATCCTATGAAATGTACAGCATGATCACAGGAAGCCACCCAAGATATGGAAGCCAGAAACACTGTGGAGAGTTTACAAAGGGAGAGGTGCAAAACGCAAGGATGACGCCTACATATGGCCACTGTCCACTTAAACTCCCACATGGCCATGATCCAGAGACACACAAATGAATCCCACACCCGAGCTGCAGAGATGACTCTGGACTTTGCAATAGGCCACTTTTGCTGGGCCTACTGCAGGTGCCGTCTCTCTCTCTGCCTGTCCCCTAGGAATCCCACTGGCCGCCATCTTCTAGAACTCAGCGAAAGCTTCCAGGTATGGATGGCGATGGCAGCAAACGCCAGGCCTCACGGGACAGGGGAGGAGTTAGCCCTTCTCCATCCCCCCCACCCTGATGGGACTCTGAGATGATGCTCACATACGGCCACCTTCTACTTAAGCTCCCACACGGCCACGATCCAGAGACACACAAACGAATCTCGGACCTAAGTAACTTGCTGCAGCGATCTTTCCAGACCCTAATTATTAAAATTTTAGAATTCCTAGAGCGTATGGCCACTCTCCCAGCTGCGCAACATTATACTGTATTCATAACAAGCAATATAAAACACATTATCACACTGCCTTTTCCGCAGGTTTGAGTGGTGGTGGGACTGGTCTCAAAATATCGAAGGTAACCAAAGTAGAGAAAGAAAGTACTGTGCAAATTGTCTGCTGCACAGCCAGGGGTAGTTGTGGAATGGTGGTGGTGGTTGGGGGGGGGGGGGGGGGCGGGAGGAATACTGGGTATTTTGGTGGTGGAAAACGTGCACTAGTGAAGGGATGGGTGTTTGATGAGTGTATGATCAAAGCTCAAACATGAAAGTTTTGTTACTGTACCTACGGTGAATCAATTAATAAAGGGGGGGATGCAAGGCGGGGAGACTACCCCAAAGTCTAGGAGCCCAGGTGACAGAAAAAGTGGATCAGCATTAGTGTAAGGAAAAGGAAGAGGGCTGGAGTGACAGCACAGCAGATAGGGCGTTTACCTTACACGCAGCCAACCCAGGTTCAATTCCCAGCATCCCATATGGTCCCCCAAGCACCGCCAGGTGTAATTCCTGAGTGCAGAGCCAGGAGTAACCCCGTGCATTGCTGGGTGTAACCCAAAAAGCTTAAAAAAAAAAAAGGAAAAGGAAGAAGGGAATGCACTTGAAAGTTACTCAGGAGTTGGGGTCAAGAGAGGAGAAAGGAGCACCTAGGAAAGTTCCCAGGTTTCTAGTTAAGAGAAACGGGTAGAACTGCTGGGCAGCAAGAGTGGCTTTCTATGACTCCCCGGACTGAACTGCAACACCGATCCAGCCCAGACTCTTGTGCATGGTGGCAGGAGACCAGTGGGAGAGCAACTGCTGCCTAATTCCTAACCATTCTTCAGCCTGAACATTCGATTCCTAACCACGGCACAACCCTTCACAGTTCCTCACATGCAATTCCACCGTGTGAAAGCACCACCACAGACCAAGAGCAGACACTCTGTCTCTCCTCACGCTTGAGAATTGTTTCTTGTCCCTCTGCTGGGCAGACAGAGAGAACAGAAACAGATTTCTAGTTTAGTTAATATTCTAACTTGGATATTTCTTCTTCAAAGCTGACAAACCAAATCAGAACCACATTGTCAAATTTTTCCACAGAGACAACAGTATCTTACTGTGAATCTTTCCATACATAGAGATAATACCTGAACAATACAAGGAAAATACAAAATAGCTGGTAAAGAGACTGGTGGGGTTTTTGTTTTTGTTTTTTATAATTTCATCTGTGGGCCACATCCGGCAGTGCTCAGGTCTTATCTGAGCTCAGGGATTACTCCTGGGGAGGCCATATGGGATGCTGGAGATTGAATCGAGGTCAGCCATGGACACAGCAAACAAGCTACCTGCTGTACCATCTCTCCGGTCCCAACATCTGTGTTTTGGGGAAAGGGAGGGAAGACTTGGGCCATACCCAGGGACACTCAGGGCTGACTCTTGGGTCTGCACTCAGGGATCACTCCTAGTAGTGCTTAGAGTAGTTACCCTGGGCCCAACTGGTGGCTAGTTTTAATAAAGAGAAATGACCAGGAAAGGTTACCTTAGAATGCTGGGATACTCTGTTAAAATTTTTTTAAGAATCTGGGGCCAGAGCGATAGTATAGAGGACAGAGCGTTTTGCCTTGCAAGCAGCCAACCCAGGTTCAATCTCTGCCATTCCATATGGTCCTCCAAACACAGCCAGGAGTAATTCCTGAGTGCAGAGCCAGGAGTTGCCCCTGAGCATCTCTGAGTGTGACCCAAAAAGAAAAAAAAAAAAAATTTAAGAATTTGTTTTGTAGGGTGTTCAGGCCACATAGCACTGAAGATCGAGCCCCAGGGCTTTGAACCATGACAGGCATGAGCCCAACCATTTGAGCTAAGTCTCCTGTCCCTGTTACAAGAAGCTGGAAGCCTCTGGGCAACTAAGGTCAAATATGTTTCAGCAGGTCACTGAGCTGGGATAGTGCTAAGCATTTTAGTGCTCATAAACACGCACAGAAACATTCACATGATTCACATGAGAACGTCACAGAAAAACAAAATCTTTTTCTTAGAGAAAACACACACAGTCTAGAGGGTGAAGAAATGTGCAGAGCTGCAGCAGGCTCTTATGCAAGGTGCTAACTTCCCCCTAGTGGTCAATTCTGGAACTGTAAATGAAGTGACAAGAGAACACTTCCAGAGCGTGGACCACCCGCCCCCCCACCTCACCCTCACCAGACCCATTTTTGATGATGACCTTCTAAACAAAGCAGGTTCTTACCTCCATTTTCTGATTTTTCAGAAATACCAGACAGCTTCCAAAGGGCTTTCATCTGCTCTGCATTCCTATAATGAAAAATGTTTTCAGCACAGTATCTTATAAAGGTACTCAATACATGTGTATGCTCAATAAACAAACACATTCTAAATATCTCACTAGAAGAACTAAACTGACCTCAATAGAACTAAAGTTACCTCAATTCTACCTGTGAAAAAATGTGTCTGTGAAATAGATTCAATGATCTTTCTCAATTAAAGGAAACTTTTCAAATTGTCTAATTCTCCTGTCTACCGGTCAGACAAGGAATATGGGAGAAGATGGAGGAGATGGTTCAGGACACTTAATGATGGAGGAAAGCACTTCACTGTTAAGTGGTGAAGCAAATATAAAGGTTGGTGAGTCTACACCAATAATACTGGAAAGGTCAAGAGGGGTAGTTAAATATCAAAGTACGACCATTATGTACTAATAGGTGTTCCTTTAGCTATGTCAGATGCTAGGTGTAAACCTGTAAAATTACTGTTTTTGTGTTTGTTTACTTTTAATTCAGGGAGTTAAAAAATCTGCTTAAATTATTGTTAAAGTTATACTCAATCTTTCAAGTCTGGACGATGACAGTAAAACTGGTTTTGTTTCATTTGGAATAAAGCTACTATGGTCCCACTGACTGTGCTCAGGGCCTCCTCCTGGCACTGTGTTCAGAGGCCATTCCTGGTGGTGCTCAGGGAACCGAAGGGTCCTGGGTATGAAACCCAGGGTTCCCACACACACGCACTGGGCGCTCTGGCACTACCTCTCTGGCCCCAACAGCATCTCTTACAGCACTGTTTTTTTTTTCTTTTTGGGTCACACCCGGCGATGCACAGGGGTTACTCCTGGCTCTGCGCTCAGGAATTACCCCGGTGGTGCCCAGGGGACCATATGGAATGCTGGGAATTGAGCCTGGGTCGGCCGCGTGCAAGGCAAACGCCCTACCCGCTGTGCTATTGCTCCAGCCCCACAGCACTGTTTTTAACGCTAAAACTTTCAGAACTGAAACCGTTCACGTCTGTAAGATGACTTTCACAATTTAAGGTCTCAAAGTTGGGGGTAGCAACAGTAATTCAGCAGGAATTCAGAAATCTATGGAAGTTACCAGACTGCAGGAGGAAGGGACTGCATGCCTGTGACGCCTCCGCCCACCGGCACCACCACCTGTATGTTAGAAAGCACGCCCGGCACAGCCATCGACTCCGGGTTGTACTTATAATCCACCCTGAGGTCGGTGGTGCCAGCAGCACACTTCCAGTATGTCGCAAGATTCAGAGGAGTGGACTGAATACCATTTGATGATACCTTTGAAGAGAAAGCAAACTGTCTTAGCACTGAAAAGCAAACAAGCATCACACATGGAAAGTACACCTACACACATGAGTTAGCAGAATCCAAAACAGAATGAACAAGCTGTCTGCTGCTAGACAGAGTTAAAAAAGTGGACTCATTTCGGGTCTGAAGCAAAAGCACAGCGGGGAGGGCACTTGTCTTGCATGCAGTTGAACTAGGTTCAATTCCTGGCATCCCATATGGTCCCCCAAGCCTGCCAGGAGTGACCCCTGAGCACTGCTGGGTGTGGCCCCCAAACAAACAAACAAACAAAACCCCAACACATTTCAAAGGTCTAGGAGTCCATCTAAAAGGTGTAGACCAGGTAAAATTTTACCCATTTAGATAAAAAAAAAAAAGCTTGTAAAAGATACTGCCCTGGCTCCAAATGGAAAAGCTCTGGTCCAAGCTTAGTTGCACAGCTGAGAAATCAACATGTAATCAGGCAATCGTTGCTTATGCACATAATTGTTGGTGCTAAGCCAGGACACCAGGACGGGCCTCTGGACGCTGCTCTGCAAGCAGGAAGCAGAAACCAGGCCCCATTTTCACATTAAGTGGGCAAGCTAAAACTTGTGAGTCCAAAGACCTGCAAAAGCACAGCACGCTCTCATACACCCGCCTAGCCATACATGATCTTGGCAGTACAAGGCAGCAGTTTCCCCTTCTCTTACACATCCTTAATCTGGATTGACCTTCAATATCAGTATGAGCCTTCTCTCTGCCCTATGTGTGACCGACCACAAGAATGTGGGGGACATAATCTGTAGAGCCTACGTGTCCAGCTCCATATCTTCCTCTGACGATTTAATCATGACAACATAGCTTTGACAGCATAGCTTTGACAAGACAAAGTATACCCTGACGTTCCCTTGACGAATGCTCATCCTGTAACTGTTTGTACTCTCTTTAGTGAGTCTTTCTCCGTGATGAAGTCACTAGGATGTAAATGATAAAAAATAGAATAAAAGGAGCCCTCTGGCAGTTGCTCTTCATCTCAAGCCAGACTGAGCCTTGGTCCTCCGAGCTCTTCACACTCCTCTCGTGTGTCTTGTCTCTGTGCCTCCGACCAATTGATCAATTACTTCATATAACACGTAATATCTGAACACCTTTCAATAGCCAACACAAAATTCTAAGGCTCATTATGAAGCAAAGGAATTCATCTAAAACAGAAAAGGATGTGTCACCATGGTCGTTCTGCAAGTCTTGAACTAGAATATGCCAACTTCAATGTTCAATTTCAATCAGGACTCACAGAAAATGGCACAATTTCTTGTGATTCTTTAGTGCTTCATTCAGAAGATTCCTTTCCTGTAAGTTCTACCCTGGTTGACACTGAAAATGAATTTTCTTTATCCTACCTTGCCCTCTGGCACTTTCCCTTCCTCCATGCAGGACTCATTCTTACTCCTGCCACCGTAAGGATCATTTCTGATAGGTTCAGGGGACCATATGAGGAGGTGCCAGGGATTGAACCTGGGTCAGCTGTGTCCAAAGCAAGCGCCTTAACCACTGTACCATCACTCTGACCCCAGGACTCTTATTTCTAACACTATAATTTATCTATTTATTGTCTATCTTACAAACTTCTATCAGTTAAGTAAGCACTAAATATTTGTTTAAAAAATGATAAATGAAAAACTGGAATAAACTTTAGCCAGTTTAAATGGTGTACTTTCTTTACTCTCTTATTTAAAGTGTAAACAATACAGAAATGTATGAAATGGAAAGTTTATTCCTTGTCCCCTCACTGCCCAATATTAACAGCCTGATACATGTCCTCCAAGACAGTTAAGCCATATGCAAACATGGATCCATTCCCAGGCTTTTCTGCAGAAGGAAGAGGAAGGTTTTAGGCTTGGGGCCATACCTGGCAGTGCTCACCCCTGGTGGGCTCAGGGGACTATATGGGATCCCAGGGATCAAACCCAGGTTACCCACATGTAAGGCAAAACACCCACCTGCTATACCATCACTCCAACCAGAATCGTCCCATCCTTAATGATTACAGTATTTAATTTTCTTCCTCTATTAAGGTCACCATACGGGGAGTTTCCTAACAATACTGCAGTGAATATCCTTTTTTACTTATTTCCGCCCCAGCCCACTTGTGTGATTTCTGTAGAATAGATTTCAGGAAGTGAAATGGTTGAATTAAAGGTTTCATCTATTCAACAATCTAATAGATCTGCATTCTAGAACACTATTAATCACTACTCCTTTTAATAAGTGGTCATATTTCTCTTACTAGAGAAATCTTTTCATTTTTGTCAACCTGATATCTAAAACTGGTAACTCACTGTTACTAATACTCTTAATGTTACTTGTTCTGATTATGAGTGACATAGAAACTTGACTGTAAATTCTCAACTGAGTCAACTTTTACTTACTGATTTACAAAGGTTCTTTGGAGGAAGCATTTGGTCTATATTTAAATATTTTTCTTTCAGATTTATTCTCAGTGCTGTTTGAAAATTTGTCCTCACAAGGTCTGGTATACAAAGACACATTTATTTTTGTGTCAAGTATCTCACTCTCATCCTGCGCGGCTTCTAGGTTTTACATCGTACTTAGAAAGATCTCCCACACTTCATGATGAAAATGGTAATATACATTATGTACACAGAGAGACTCATATATTCACCTATTTCTTTTTCTATCTATCTGATTTCTCTTACTTCTGTTATACGTTTAGCATATGTGGATTTTATTTTGGCTAAGATCCTGAGATCAACCTCATTTCCCCCCAAATCTTTAGCCTACTGTCCCTAAATATTTATCGAAAAAAATCCATCATTTCTATTGCCTAGAAATGCTCTATTATAATATATGCGATTTTCCACTTATTCTTAGCTTATTTATAAATAAACCGTTCCACCTATTGTGTTAGTGCTTCAACAGCTTGAAATGTGTTGCCTTACATTAAGTTTTTCCACTCAAACAAAAACATTACTCCAAGATATAATTTAAAACATTTCTTTAAAAAAATTTCAGTGGGCCACAGTAATAGTACAACGGCCACGTAATAGTACAATGGGTAGGGTATCTGCCTTGCATGCAGCCAACCTGGGTTTAATCTGTGGTATCCCATGGGGTTCCCCATGCACCACCAGAAGTGATTCCTTAAGCGCAAAGTCAGGAGTTCACCCCTAAGCATTAGGTTCTTTGTAAATCAAAGTTCCTTGTAAATCAAACATACTTTAATTGGAGATTCAATCACCTTATGTAGCACTGTAGCACTTCCTCCCGTTGTTCATCGAGTTGCTTGAGTGGGCCCAGTAACGTCTCCATTGTGAGACTTGTTGTTACTGTGTTTGCCATATCGAATATGTCACAGAGAGCTTGCCAGGCTTTGCCGTGCAGGTGAGATACTCTTGGTAGCTTGCCGGGCTCTCTGAGAGGGGTGAAGGAATTGAACCCGGCTCAGCCGGGCCTGCAGCTTGCTAGGCAAACGCCCTACTGCTGTGCTATCGCTCCAGTCCATTAAAATTTTCACAATCTCCAATTTCAGGTGTGTTGTGAAGATCATTGGTAATACGACGATATCATTTCCAAGTGGAATTGGAAATCTTATTTTTATGTCATTTCCAAAAGCAAAACAAAAAATTTTGGTGGGTCAGAGTAACTAAACGGGTAGGGCATTTGCCTTGCATGCTGCTGACCTGGGTTCGATCCCCCAAACCCCATATGGTCTCCTGGGCACTGCCAGAGGTGATTCTTGAGCACAGAACCAGAGTAAGCACGCTTGTATGTGGACCAAAAATAAAACAAACCAAAAAAAATAACAAAACAAAATTCTAGTATTGTAGAATGACCATATCCATGCCATAGAATTCCTCTCCTCATCTTCAGAATTCTACTTGTGACTATGTTGATTTTGGATGTCTACAATGACATGACACTGACCTGATACTTGAGTACATCGACGTTATAGTATGAAGCAGCTGGGTTCTGCTCTGAGAGCTTCTTGAGGTAGACCGTCACAGCTTGCATGTTCATCCAATAGTCTCTCGTGTTAGCATCACACTGGGAAGGGTCACTGCACACACAAGAAACAGTTATTATGATCTGACTGTGCTTTTCTGCGGTGACTGGGGAAAGACTAGACAAAAATGAATCAAAAGATAGATAAAAAAAATTAAACTTAGAGAATAAAGAAAGGAACACACAGCTGAAGATAATGACAAGGAGGGGCATATTAGAGAAGAATTTAACAGTAACTACAAGCATACTTCCAAAAGTTAAAAAACAAAAACAGATTACTGTTTAATCACAATAATTTTGAGGTCCTCAAACTGAATTATTATTGCTTTAAGGAAAAGGAGAAAAATTCTTTAGAAATTTAATCTTCAAGACAAAAGTACACAAACCTGAACACAAGTTGTGCATTTGGAAGAATTTGCTCTAATCTGCTGATATTTTTCACTCGGAAACATAGGACAGCTGGTGATGGATTGCTAGTAAAAACTTTAATAATTCCACTTGGAAACGATATTGTCATATCACCAGTGATCTTCACAATACACCTGAGATTGAAGATTATGAAAATTTTAGATGAGTTATATAGGGTGACTGAATTGCCAACTGAGGCATAATTGATTTACAAAGAACTTTATCTTTCATATATGTACACTTCTTTCAATCTAACTACAAAAAAATGATTCCATGCAAAATGATAACCTCGTCCTTTTTGTCTAAAATTAAATGCCAACACAAATGCAAGCACACTGGAAACAAGTCATTTGCTGAGCTCACCCCCTTGCTATCCTAAATGTCCATTTATAATCTCAATTTCAGACTTCCTGTTCATCTAACAGCCACTTCCCATTTCTCAGCCCCTTCTTTCTTAACATATCTCCAATATCTCCATCTTCATCAAAACCTCCATGCTCCACTGTGTCTAGAGCTTATCTACTATCTTCCCTCATCCCTTCATACCCTCGTATTCCTGGAATTTCCTGATCCCTCCTTATACATACTCCTAAACATCCCTTCCTTGTTTCTTTCTTACTGTGACTATTTGGCCAAATAATGATGGTTAAATTTAGCTCTTTATGTATGTTCAGCTTTCCCTAGTCGGACATAACCAGGAAAAAACCTATAGTCATATTGACAGAATTCTCACTTAAGCCCTTTTTGGGGTTCCCTAAAAATTCCCTTATACTCCCTATATTTTTTCATATCTTATTTCCTCTCTAAAATGAAATATTCTCTCCTACTTGTAATCAATGATTTTAAATTTTACCAGTCTCACACCAAATACCTGACCTAATTCTGCCTTTTGCCTTCCCTCCTGTATCAACAGATCTATGTGCTTCAGACAATCCTGCCACTCTGCATGGAATCACATTTTTTACACACTAAAGATTTTACTCATGCAGGTAACCTCTTTTGCACACAGTCAATATGTTCCATAGATAAGAATCAATCCCATCAGCATACACACGGAATACCTTAAGAGATATAAACACAAAATTCTCCTCTGATTCTACCATCTCTCCCACTACTGTTTCATCTCTTCCACTTGGAGCAAAAATCTTGAAGAACTGTCTATACTTACTTCCTTTCAATGCACAGGTCTGTATTTACATCCCTTCCACAACTGAATGTCCTCCAAGCAGGACTGCATTTTCACCACTTTTTTTTCATTTTGTCACATTGCTGTTGTGAAGGTCCAATAACCTTCAATATTGTTAATGTCAGTTTCTGTTTGTTTGGGGGCCACACCTGGTGGTGCTGGGGATGGAAACTTGGCTTCCCAGGTGCAAGGCATGTACTCCTGCCCTTTGAGCCACCTCCTAGACCCAATGGTTCATTTTCCTGAAAACTGTCAGCAGCATCAACTATCGCATCATATTTGCCTTCATGAAACAGTATACTCACTTGTATTTGGGACACTCTCTACTGGTTCTCTCATCTCTCCTATTGGGGGCAATCTCAAACCCCTTTGCTGGATTGATTCCTCCTGTTTTTCTAAACAGGCCAGGATTTAGTTCTCATAAGATCTCTTTCCTTTTCCAAGGCCCTGGCTTTGAGTATTAAACACAGTAATGACAAGTAAGTATTTTCTCTCTACCCTGGTCCTCCAGAATCTAGCTCTGACCTACAGAATCATGAATTCAACTACCAATTCAGTATTTCCACTAAGTCATCTTAATAGTAACTTCAGACTTTGTAATCCACAAGATTAGCTCAGCAAACCCTGACAACTGTTTTCAAAATATATTCAGAATCTCCTTATTATCTTCTCTACAAATGCCCTACAAGCCACCGTCACTAGGACTTACATGGAAGTTCATCAATCACCCTGCATCTGTTGTGAATCCTTCCAGTTTATTTTCTATAGTTAGTAAGCAAATACTCCTTCAGAAATATTCAGGGCACCACTCTAGTGCTCAAGTCTTTACATCTCACTCACAATGAACTTCATACTCGTGCAGTTCTGTAATGTCCAACTGGGTCTAGTCCCTCTGTCTCTGATACTCTTCTCCTTGCTTTTCCTACTCAGTGACATGGTTCCTTGCTATTGCTTCAATCTGCCACTTAGTCTTTGACCTCAGTCCTTAAATCTCGCACACGCTCTTACCTCAGCCACAGGCATGGCTTGCTTCTAAACGTCTCTCAAATATCTGCTTAAAGATTTCTTCCAACTGGGCCAGAGAGCTACAATAGCAGGTAGGCGCTTGATTGCACACAGCCAACCAGGTTCAATCCCTGGCACCCCAGACGGTCCCTTGAGCCCCACCAGGAGTGATCTCTGAGAGCAGAGCCAGGAGTAATCTCTGACCATTGCCGGATAGTGATAAGGATACTTTACTAAACAAAACAAAGCTCTCAAGTTTGCATTATCATAAAAGAAATTGGTTTCTTACACTAATGCAAGCTTATGCCAGACTGCTACACACATTCAAATACTTGATGGATGTATGTTCAATGGAATGTATGTATAACTAACATTTTGCATGAAAAACAGGGGTGGTTATTCATTCAAATACTTTAAAGGAAGAAGCGAATCCAATCTTGCTATGGTTCCATATCGCAGCATGCACCATGCACTACTCCAGTCCAGGTTAACACTGGATTTCAGACTGACATAATCTAGCTAGCCCACATTCCTATCTGATCAGTGGAAATAGTCAGATAATAAATCTATGTTTTTGCTTTTTTTTTTCCTTTTTGGTTTTTAGAACACACCTGGTGATTTTCAAGATAACTCCTGGCTCAGCATTCAGGGACTACTCCTGAGAAGCTTGGGGGCCCATCTGGGATGCTAGGGATCAAACCCAAGTTGGCCCGCATTCGAGGAAAGTGCCTCCCCGCTGTACTATCTCTCCAGCCCTGTGTTCTTGCTTTTAAGTTTGTAAAAATTTGTTATTCCTTTGGTGGAGCTTGCGGTGAATTAACACTGTATACCAAATTCATAAATGTTAAAACTAGTTTAAGCCTTATTACACTAATAATTAAAATAAATTAAGAAAGCTTTCTGGGACTCTCTTGCAAATGTTTTACTTTCACCAAAGAAAAACACTAAAGTCCAAATTAAGAGTTCCATCCCAATCTAGGTCAGCTGCTATTGTCCTACTCTGTAAAATGCTGGACAACAGATATGTCACACTGCTGATAAAGTCTGGGCAAAAGATGTAAATAAGCTCAGAATTCAGTACCCATGAGTGCTGAATATAGGTTTTATTTAAAATCTAAATAACTATATTGATAGCAGCAAAAAGCAAACAAAACAGCAAACCCTACCCTATACGAAAATAAAAACTTAAAATTCACCATCAGATTTCTGCCCCCCCCCCCCAAACCATCACCACGTTTCTTTAAAGAACTAACTTGGTGGGATCCGCTCCTTTAAAGTAGGCATTGACGGACTCTGTGAGGGCAACGGCCACAGGCAAGGTGTCTTGATTTCCAAGGCTGACAGGGCTGGGACCTCGTGATACACCTAGAATACATACAATCCACTGGTTAAATGCTACAGGAAGATCTTTATTAGCTACCAAGACAGGTGTTAGATTATTAAAAAAAAAATACGATTACTGGGATTACTGGTTTCAAAGATGCTGCAAGTACAAATATGAAAGTTAATAAATACAGCATAAAACAAATTGGGGCATAACACAAAGGACATAGGAAATTAGGAAACATGTCACACTGACTTTTCTTTTCAATAAAATGACACAGAAGGGCTGGGTTAAGGAATATCAGAAGAAAAAGTCCTTTACCTGAAGAGTGAACTTACTAAGACATAATTTCAAACCCATCCAGATACTCAATTTATTCAAGTTCCACCAATCACACAATGTAGGTTATCTTATTAAAATGCTGTTTGTCTTTAGGCTCTTTCTAGCCACTGGCTACTACTATCAAGTTTTACATACTCTTATTGTTCGACCTCTGTCAAATGCTTGTAATTATATCCCCACATAACCCTCGCCCCAATAAAGATGCCTAATGACATAAAACACCCTTGACATAAAGTTCACTCAGATAAGACACCTTTGGAGTCAAATCAGATCAAGATTAGCATTCATAAGCATAAAAAACATCAACAAATTTAATCTATACACATGTTTAGATTTTAACTTAAAATATCTGGTTTATTTCATAATTTAAAAAAAAACCTCAAATAATACACTGCTTTTTGTTTTTCTTTACAATGTTGTCTTTCCATTTATGCCTTAATAATACTGCTACTGGTTGAAATGCAGTGCCCTTTGGGTAAATAAATATGATGCAATTTTATAAAAATAAGCCAATAGAATAATTATGATTATTCATTCCTAAAGAAAAAATTAATATGCTGTGTTAACAGATACCCATGAATCTGAATGTTCTGTATACATTACAGAGAATTCACAGCCTTCAGGACTTTGGTGGGAGGCATCCCCAGCAGTGATCAGGAGGAAGAGTGGCGGAAGGCATGTGGGGATCCAGCAATTCTCAGCCAACCAAGCCAGCAGCTGAATCCAAACGTCAGGTGCGGAAAGGACATGAGATGCTGTGCAGAGCCAGTGGTGTCCTGACTCTAGGTCACCCCCAGAGGTGCTGGGGGACTCCAAGGCCACACCTGGCAATGCCTGGGGGATCGAGCAGTGTTGGGAAATGAAACTGGTTGCGTGCAGGCCAACGGCCTCTAACTACCATACGATCTTCCAGTTCACTGCAGAAACTTTTATTTCAAATGGTTCCCGGGGTGGGGGGGATTACTTTTAAAATACCTAGACTATAATAAATTCTTTTTTTCTTTTTGGGTCAGACCTGATGATGCACAGCGGTTACTCCTGGCTCTGCACTCAGGAATTTCTCCTGGCAGTGCTCAGGGGACCACATGGGATTCTGGGAATTAAACCTGGCTTGGCTGTGTGCAAGGCAAACGCCCTGCCTGCTGTGCTATCACTCAGCCCCGACTATAATAAATTCTGATAAACATCAGGATCCCCCTTCTGGACTCAACTGAACCAAACAATAAAACTGATCCAAACAATAAAAGATCGTTTGTTGGCTTTAAAGGCAAAAATGATGTTTTTGAGATTTTGAAGAAATTTTGATTTAGAAGTTCATCAAAGAAATCAGTAATGAAAAATACAAGGAAATAAAAGTGGCCACTTTTAGACAGTGGAAAAGAAAGCCGCCATCCCCCAAACAAAACAACCTCAAAGTTGCATATTAAAATTGAAAGTCAGATACGAAACTTTATTCAGGAAATCACAACGGTCACTATTAACCACTAATATGGGCTAGACACAATGCTCCTGATGTGTGGGGAAAAAATGTGAAGTTTTGAACCACAAGTAGTTCTGCAAAGCAGGAGCACACTTTGTGGCTAAAAGATGGGCCAAAATAATAAAGGACGTGAAGATGAGACTGGAAAAGATCTCAGGGAATGAGGCTTTCTAGCTCTGAAAAACACTAAAAATGTACAACAGAAATATCACTGGGTTTTTCATTAACTTAAGAGCACATGAACACAGACAGGGTCTTGGATTGAAGAGAAATATGACCGCTGGGAGTGAAGTCTGAATTAGGTGAAAGATGAGGTTATTTCATTTTGGGTCACACCCAACAGTTCTTAAGGGCTTACTCCTGGCTCTGTGCTCACAAATCACTCCAGAAGGTGCTCAGGGGACTGTATGTGGTATCTGAACTGGGGTCAGCCACATCCAAGGCAAGAACCTTAACCCCACTATTATCTGGGTGTGAGATGATGAAGTGAAAGATAAGGATCTGAACAAGAAGCAGGACTTCTGGGGACGTGCATAAGAAAATGTTAAGTGAAAAAAGCCAAGTAGTAAATTCACTGATTACAAAAGTAAGTATGCATTTTTCAAAATGCATTTAAAGTAGTTAAACCGATTTTTAATATGTTGGCCTAGAGGGTCATTCTGGAGTTCGTATTTTCAAAGAAATTCTGAAAGCCATAATCTTTTCATTTTAGAACTATAAGCTCTTAAATATGAAATTAATCTTTCCTGCTGAAAAACCTATACAAAATCGGGAACAATGTTTGTCACAGCTTTTGCATTAAAAATAAGTTATTCTTTCCAACTACATAATTTAGACATCTCAAGTAAGAATTCTTGAAATGGTTTCTCTATAAAATGTTTTACTCCCATTTTTTAGAATATGGTGAATATGGGCCAGAGCAGTAATACAGTGGATAGGGCTCTCACCCTGCACACGGCTGACCCCCGTTTAATTCTCGGTACCCATTAGGTCCCTGGAGAACCTCCAGGAGTAATTCCTGAGTGCAGAGCCAGAAGTAACCCCGAAGCACCACCAGTGTGGCCCCAAATTTAAAAAAAAAAAAAAAGAAAAAAGAATGAAAATGAGGCTCTTAATTACTTCCTTTCTCTGAACCTAGAACTTTTTTTTTTTTAATTTTATTGAATCACCATGAGATAGCTTTAAGTTTTCATGTTTAGGTTACAATCACACGATGATCAAACACCATCCCTCCACCAGTGCACACTCCCCACCACCAATATTACCGGTATACGCCCCCTTTCCCACCCTCCCCCTACCTCCATGGCAGACATAATTCCCCATAATCTCTCTCTACTTTGGGGCATTATGGTTTGCAATACAGATCCTGAGAGGTCATTCATGTTTGGTCCTTTATCTACTTTCTGCACACATCTACCATCCTGACTGATACCTCCGGCCATCTTTTTCTTAGTGATCCCTTCTCTATTCCAGCTGCCTTCTCCCCTTTGCTCATGAGGCAGGCTTCCAGCTATGGAGCAATCTGTCCCGTGTATCTACTATCCTTAGGTGTCAGCCTTATGCTATGTTGTTTTATACTCCACAAATGAGTGCAGTCCTTCTATGTCTGTCCCTCTCTTTCTGACTCATTTCACTTAGCACGATACTCTCCATGTTTATCCATTTATAGCAAAGTTCGTGACTTCATCTCTCCCGACAGCCGCATAGTATTCCATTGTGTAGATGTACCAAAGTTTCTTTAACGAGTCATCTGTTCTAGGGCACTTGGTTGTTTCCAGATTTTGGCTATTGTGAATAGTGCTGCAATGAACATATAGATACAGATGTCATTTCTACTGTGCTTTTTTGCATCCTCGGGATATATTCCCAAAAGTGATATTGCGGGGTCATATGGAAGCTCAAGTTCTAGTTTTTGAAGGACTATCCATATTGTTTTCCAGAAAGGCTGGACTAGTGGGCATTCCCACCAACAGTGAAAGAGTGTCCCTTTTCCCCCACATCCATGCCAGCACTGTGAACCTAGAACTTTAAACTCACAAGATGTAGGTTCTCATATGCCAGCTCTCTGCTGATAGTTTTGGTATTAAAGTATGTGTTTAGCTAGTTATCTTTCAGCTTCTTTTCTAATAATCTGATTTAAGAGCCTTGAAATTAAGATCAATTGACAATTCTTAATGCTGAAGAAAGAAGAGAAGCGAGATGACAGAAGACGCAAAAAGAATGACTGTTTTCATAACTGGGGATTTGATATCAGTGGATCTCATATAGGAACTGCATATGATTAGTACAAAACTGAAAGCGTTAAGCTTTAGCGTTATTCTTGATTTCTGCATACACTGCTGAAAAAAGAAAAATTAGATGAAAGTATTTTAGGTACACTTTAAGATCATTAGTCAACACATACATTTGCTTTTGATACAATACCTTGTGACGTCTCACAGTGCTTTTCAATTTCAGAGAGTGTCCCAATCAAATTATCATCTATCATATTTAAATAAAATAAAATGTTGCGGGAAAGGAAATGTTTTTCAAGATACAAGAACAAGAAGAACCAAAAATTTAAATCTAAAAAGAGAGCTGATAAGCATCTTACTAGAGGACCTTTTTTTTTTTTTTTTAAGTAGGGAGTACTGAACCCAGGGATAAGCAAGGAAAACATGTTCTCCATAGTTGAACTACATCTTCCAGTACATAAAATGAAATTTTAGGAGAAAAGATACCCTCATTCACTGCTGGTGGGAACATCAACTGGCTGGGGCTAAAGAGACAGTACAGTGGGTAGGGTGCTGGGGTGGCATGACTGACCCAGGTTCAACACCTGGCACTCCCCACGGTACCCAAGTTTTGCTGGGAGTGACCCCTGAGTGCAGATCTAGGAGGAAGCCTGAACACAGCTAGGAGTGACCCCAAAACAAAGTAAAACAGAAAACTCAAAAAACTAGAAACTAAGCTTCCATCTGACCCAGCAATTCCACCTTTTGGCATCAGTCCTCAATGGTGCAAAAACTCTTACACAAGATTATTCGCAATCCTATGTTCACTGCAGCACTATTCACAATAGCCAAAATCTGGAAACAACCCAACTGTCCAAGAGCACATGGCTGAATAAAGAAACTATGGTACATACACACAACGGAATACTATTCGGCTATAAGACAAAGTCATGCAATTTGCTGCTACATGCATGAATCTGGAGAGCATCATGCCGAATGAAGTGGGTCAGAAGGAGAGGGACAGATACAAAAATGATCTTGGTAAGTGGTATATAAAGAAACATATTTTAAGAAAATAATAAATGCCCAAAGGCTATAGAAACTGATAATTGGTCTTCAGTAGAAAGCATGCCACCTAAAGGTGAAAGGTGAAGTGCAGGATGAAGGGATGGGGGTGGAGGAGGGTCTCGGGGATGAGGGGGAGGGACAATGGTGGAAAGCAGCAGATATTCTGGTACATTGTGTGGTGCTACAATGTTTTATGCATAAAATTCTACCATTAACAGTGTTATTTTAAATGACAGTGCCTAAAATAAACCAAGACGAATTTAAAAACTGCAAAACTTTTGGGAGTCTGAGAGACTGTAAAGTAAGATGCTTGCCCTGCATGCGTCAGACCTGGGTTCAATCCCCGGCATCTCATATGGGCCTCAGAACAACACCAGTGATTATCCCTGAGATCAGAGGCAGGAGTAAGTCTTGAATACCACCAGGTGTGGGACATAACCAAATAAAATTAAAGAATTTTAAAGGGAGATTTAAAGAACCTAGATCATAAAAACTACACATACTCTATTCATTGCCTGCATTTATCAATGTCACCTACTTTTGGTTCCATTATCAGCATTGGCTTAAAGGACAAGGATTTTTCAAACTCAATCAAGACTGAAGTTTCCATCACAAAAAATAGAAAACCTTCTTAGTAATCTAGATATAATGAAAAATAAGTGAAGCATACTTATAACCTTTGGCGACCAAAACCACCTGTCTAATTCCTAACAAGGTTCATCTATGCTGGGTGTTTTGGATTTTGTGTTCTGAGATCATGTCCAGCAGTGCTCAGGTACTACTCCTGACCCACTTGGGGGTGACCCCCAGCAGTACGTGGGGAGTTACAAGGGGTTGAAACTCAAATCCAGCCCCCACACATGCAAAGTATGTACACAGCCCAATGAGCTCTCTCTCCTGCCCCTCCACCTATGTCATTTATGAAAAAATATTCTGTGGGAACAAGCATTTAAATTTCACATATACAAAAAAAAAATGAAATAGCAAGTAAAAATGAAAAGCAGATACATTGCTTACAGTTTAAAAATGGGGAAATGCTATGTTAACAAGTTAATAAAATGCGATGATAAGTTTGAATATTTGGAAATCACATCATTTTTTAAATCTCATTTCAGCGTACACATGCCTTTCTACTAACAGACAACTTTACTGGGCATTCACATATTAATTTGTATACTACTGAATATTTAATACTCAAACTCAGCATTCATCAGAATCACCTGGCAGGGCTGTTTGGCAACTGCTCGCTCCCTTCCCAGAGTTTCTCTCATTTAAAGGGGTTCCATTTCTAGGAAGTTTTCAGCTGCTGTGCATACATGTTCCGAGCCCAGGGGCTACAATCTGAGCACCATTAATTCATGCTCACTGCAAATCTGTGATTTACATTAACAAGGCGAAACCAGCTACTACTTAAAAGCAGTGACAAGAGGGGCAATTACTATTTTGGTGAGAAAACATTGCTACTATGCACAGCAGGTAGGGTGCTTGCCTCACACACAGCCAACCTGGTTCAGTCCCCAGCATCCTGTATGGTGCCCTGAGCGTTGCTGGGAATGATTCCTGAGCAGGGAGCCAGAAGTAAGCCTTGGGCATCACTGGGTGTAGCCCCCAAACAGAACAAAACACAACTATCCTGTTAAAGTGCTTTGTGCTCTGCTGTGCTCTGCTTAGAAAGGTAATGAAATTCATGAGAAGAATTAAGACAGAAAAGGAGATGACAGAAAATCTAGATGGAATAAAATAGTAAATTTATCTGGTAAGAAGGAGAGACAGATACATACTATCCCCAATATCTTTTAAATCTCACAGGGAAAAAAAAATTCATTATAAACACAAAATCCCTTCTATTGATTCTAAGGGTTTTGTTTGTTTGCACTTGGGGTCACACCCAGTGATGCTCAGGAGTTACTCCTGGCTCTGCACTCAGGACTTCTGGCAGTCCAGGGGGACCATACGGGATGCCAGGGATTGAACTTAGGTCAGCCTGAGTGCAAGGCAAATGCCCTACCTACTGTACTATTGCTCCGGCCCAATTCAAAGGTTTTAAAGTTCGAGCTTTCTCTGGAATGTGGAGAACGGCAAAATATTTTGTCTTAAATATTTATATTAAGTTTATAAACATGGTGCATTCTTTGTGGGGGTGGGAGGAATTTGGGCCATACCTGGTGGCACTCAGAACTTATTTCTGGCTCTGGGCCAGGCATCACCCTTGGTAGTGCTCAGAGGACCATATATGGGGCTTACACAAAACCTGCTGGAGGAAGCTTTATGGGTTTCTAGCAGGAGAGGCTCGAAAGTACGCTTTTTTGGTGGCTGGGAGTGTTGGGCTACATCTATCAGTGCTCAAGTGCTCTTTCTGACTCTGTGCTCAGGAGACCATACTGGTGCCAAGAATCAAACCAGTGCTAGCCGAAGGCATGGCAAATGCTTTCACCCCTACACTATTTCTCTGGACTACATTTCTTTGTTTTCAATGAGGGCCATTCCCAGTGGGGCCTGATTGTGTGGTGTGGGCTACGAGCAACAATCCTCCGCACTATTCCTGCCCCAGACCCCCAGGATACACCAACCACTGCTCACAGGAAGTAGGCAGTGAAAGGTATCAATTAGGGCTCTGCGATACTGGGCCTGGGCTCTACCACTCGAGCTAGCTCCACAGCCCAACTGTATACTATCTTTTTTGGGTTTTGGTGTTTAGGGACGACACCAGTGGTGCTCAGGGCTTACTCTTGGCAGATGATCGTATGTGGTGATACCTCATCTCTAAGAGTGTTTCAAAGGCCTGATATGAATATTAGTTCTCATGGCAAAAATCTTGCCCTTGACTTGTCTGTTTATGACAATGCTGAGAGAATGCTGGTAACACTGTAGACTCTCCTGGTCCTGCCAAGGGAATGTTTGTGGGCATCCCAACTTGAAGGGCCAATTCCCATAATGTCTACAGCATCACCTTTCTTGTAGATCTGCATGTGTGGGACAACTCCATGTTGGAACAACTCGATGTTTTCTAAAAGGTGTAGGGAATATAAAGTGAGTACCTCCTCCTTCCCTTCACAGTGGTTATTCTGGCAATTTGTTGGAAATAGCAGTTTTGGCCAAGAGACCCAAATTTGATGCATTCGTAACAGAGCTTGCTAGCTGTTGTTAAAATCCCCCTATTCAAATAATAAGTAAAAGTAAAGGCCCTCCCGTTGATCATCGATTTGCTCAAGTGGGCCCAGTAATGTCTCCATTGGAGACTTTGTTGTTACTGTGTTTGGCATATCGAATTTGTCACCGGGAGCTTGCCAGGCTCTGCCGTGCGGGCGAGATACTCTCGGTAGCTTGCCAGGCTCTCCGAGAGGGGCGGAGGAATCAAACTCGGGTCGGCCATGTTGGCTGCGTGCAAGGCAAACGCCCTACCACTGTGCTATCGCTCCAGCCCGTATTCAAATAATACGTATTCAATAATAATTCAAATAATACCAGATGTGAAAAGCAAAGGGAGAATGTAGTTAGCTTGATAATGCATCTCCAGAAAACCAACACTGGTGTTCAACTGTTGACTATTTCATTTGAAAGCATCCCAAACAGCCCACACGAGCTCTGAATGATGATTTCATCAGTGACTTTTTTTTTCATCAGTGACATTTACTTACCTATTGTTGGAGTATTGGCAGCACTTAATGAAGCAGCAGATGAGATAGAGGAAGAACTTTCAGCCCGTGCTAGAGGAGCAGTAGGAGGCGGGCTAGTATTGGTGGTTACAGGTGGACTGAATGGCCTGGGCTTAAAAACAAAAAGGGATTTATCAAAAAGCTGGAAATAAAATTCCTCTAGTATTAGAAGTTTTCAGATATCAGCTTAATTTTTATATACTAAACAAAATTTATTGCAGGAGTTCCTTGTAATTCATCTTTAGAAATGCTACAGGTCCAGTCATATTAAAGAATTAAAAAATGATGGGCCTGAAGCACTAGTATAGAGGATAAGGTTTTGCATGTGGCTGACTTGCATTTGATCCCTGGCACCTCATATGGTCCCCAAGTGCTACCAGTAGAGTGATCCCTGAGCGCAGAGACAGTAGTAGTTAAGCCCTGACCACTGCCAGTGTGGCCCCGAAACAAACCAAAACAGTATTAAAAGGTGAGAAGGCTGTTTTAAACTACAGCTGTTGAAACTTGGTTTGGGACCACACCCGACTCTGGGTTCTCTTGCAGGCTTGGGGGATCATATGTGGTACAAGGGATTGAACCTGGGTTGCCTATATGCAAGGCAAGTGCCCTACCTGCCGTATATCTCTCTGGCCCTGAAATTTTTTTCTATATTTCAAAGTAGTGAGCAAAATGACACTATTCTTGTCTTCAGTTGAGAGACATGAACACAGGTACAAGGTCCAGACAGACAGTCCAGCAGGTAGGGCACTTGTCTTGCATGTGGCTTACCTGGATTCAATCCTCCTCACTCCATACCCCCCCCCCCAACCAGCACCTCCAGGGGTAATCCATGAGTAAGTTCTAGCACTGCTAGGCGTAGTCCCCCTCCCCCCCTCAAAAAAATCTCTGGAGGAGTGGGGGGAAAAAACACAGTAAGGGGAGCAACAAAGGGCTGAAGGCAACCAAACTGGAGAGCTGGTCTGCAGAACCGAGCTTCCCGTGGTGGAAGTGATGGTGTGGATGGAGGGCTCTCGGGGACACTGGTGGAGGGAAGCGGGACTCAGGATGGGTGCGTGCTGGGAGTATGCACGAAGCCACCACAACACAGCACCACAATAAAAACAGGAGGAAAAACTCCACACAATTGCTGGGCCCCTCACAATAATTTATCAGAGAAATTGGTTTTCTACCAAGTACCCAGATGAGGTAAATGCTTTGTGCCGACTGTTCTATCTAGAAAAGGTGTCTTTGTTTTGTTTTGTTTTTGGGTGATACCCAGTAGTGCAGAGGGTTTACTCCTGGCTCTGCACTCAGGAATCACTCTTGGTGGCCTCAGGGGACCATATGAGGGGCCAAGGATTGAACCTGGGTCAACTGCCTGCAAGGCAAACACCCTACACACTGTCCTGTCTTTCCAGACTCCGAGCAGAGGTGTTCTGTATGGATGTGGTTCAAGACACCTGATAGCTTACACCTGGCCTTCCATTTCACTTCCACGAAGTCTATGCACTGGACCAGGGGGTGAAAGAAAGAAGTCATCATTTCAGCACTGGCTGCTCAAGCTTTTTCACTTATTCCAATATAGTACATTTCCAGCTGTGTACAATGTACAGTCATTAACAAAAGCTGGACACTTCGAGCTCACCAGGAGTAAGCCCTTAGTGCAGGGCCAGGAGTATGCCCTGACCACCATCAGCATGGTCCAAAGCCAAAAAACAAGAAAAGCTGAAACAGATGTTCACCAGGCCTCCCTGGTACCACACTTCTAAGGTCTAAGAATAGGCCACCATGTCTTCCTTAATATTTTATTTTAGGCAGAAGTACAAAAAAAGGTCACTTCTTAATTAAGAAACAAAGGACAAAAAATGATATTTTTATTTTATTATTTTTTCGTTTGGGGGCCACACCCTGCAATGCTCAGGGCTTACTCCTGTCTCTGTGCTCAGGTATCACTCCTGGCAGGGCCTGGGGGATTAGATGTGGTTCTGGGGATTGCACTTGAATCGACCATGTGCAAGGTAAGTGCCCTGCCCGCTGCACTCTCTCTGGCCCCAGGGATATTTTCATAATGTGCCAGACCTCTTTCCTCGTCACAACGCTCTGTGACAGAAACAATCACTAAGGAAACACAAAGGAGTAGCGGAAGTGTCAAATGGGGAAATTTTTTAGACCTGAGCGGTAATTTCCAAGCATTTAATTATAAAGAGGCAGATAGAAAAATATCACTTGCACCTTCTATAATCAAACAAAAACAGCAATGCCTGCATACATACTATTTCATTAATCCCCATGAGTTTGCTTGAAGTGAGCTTTGGTCTGGAAGTGGGCCTTGGAGGTGGGACAATGGTACCTAGAGAAAGAGGAGTTGTGGGCCGGGCTGAAAGAGGGGAAAAAAGTTTGAGGAAAATCATTAATATGCAATAATCCTTACATAAAAACAACCTACCATTAAGCAGAATTCAAAGCTTGTCTCTCAGAGGTTTTAAAAATAACATACAGATGTTTATTGAAATACTAAGAATCTATTAAATATGCTCTTTTTGAGCCAACAAAAATATTCCTAAAAGTCATTCATTTTCAATAAATTAGCACACATAATCAAATTTTTTATTCTTTTTTAATTACTTAGACACATAAAAATTAAATCCAATAAATTAGCTGGTGAAAATAAACCAATTTAAGGTATAAAGTCTTTATTTACTGAAAATATATCGATGTCACAGATAACAACTAAGGCCAAGTCTAGGAAGTTACCACTTTCTGACTGAGCAGATCGTCTCAAAATAAATGCAAACACTTACTTTTATTAAACTAGCAATTAAGTTGGCTTCTGCTGTTAACTTTTTAAAGGATCATTTAGAGAACTACCTCATGTGTACACTACCAATTTCCCCAAATCATTAAAATCAGTTTTGGTATGAGTCCACATATCTTAACTTTTCCTAACTCTTACACATTGACTATACATGACTTTTTCCCTTCTTCAAAAGGGTTGGGGGTTCCCAGGGGCCACTCTCAGCACTCTCGAACACTCTTGCTGTGCGAGTCTGATGGTCAAGAGCTGAGGCTGCTGACTGACTGGTGCTCAAGGCTACCTGGCTGCACCCAGAGGGATGTGGGCATGCCGTGCCAGGAGCAAGCACAGGGGCTGGCACAGGTCTGGTGTGTGTCCAGCCCTCTGAGCTATCTCCCTGGCCCTTGGCATTCACTATGTTGCATCGTCATTGATTAATTTTCAATTTTACAGCTCAAAGTTCAGAATGCTAATCATTACACCACTGGGCTAACTTCAGGGGCTGGCCAGATGGTTCAAAGGGCTAGAAAACAGTCTGCATGCAGAAGGCATAGGTGTGTTCTTTGGCAGCAGCTGCATGGTTCCCAAGTAGCACTGGGTGTGACCAAAAAGGAAAGGAGGGGAGGGGAAGGGCAGGGAGGAAGGGCTGATCAGAGAGATAGTACAGCAGGGAATTCACCTAGGGCTCTAAAGGTAGACACTTACTTTTAGAGTGTTTGTCCAGACATAGAAAGATTGCATTCATCTGGGGAACATAAAGTAACAAAATAGGAGACCAACACCCAAGAATAGCCCAGATAAGTACCAGGAGGTTTACTCCATGGCTTGGAGGCCAGCCGCAAATGCCAGAGGAAAAAGCAGCTCAGATAGAGAAGGGAACGCCAAATAAAGGGTGTTGGGAGGATCCTCCCAGGATGGGAGAAGCATGCTGAAAGTAGACCATAGACCAAACATGATTGCCACTCAATGCCTCTCTTGCAAACCACAGGACCCAAAAGGAGAAAGAGAGAACAAGAGGGAATGCCCTGCCACAGAGGCAGGGTGGGAAGGGGGCGATGGGGGGTGGGAGGGATGCTGGGACCCGTGGTGGGGGAGGATGGGCGCTGGTGGAGGGATGGGTACTTGATCATTGTATAATTGAAACACAAAAATTTGTAAGTCTACAACTGTACCTCATGGTGTTCCACTAATAAAAATTTTAAAAAAAAGTGTCTGTCCAATGACAGTACAGCAGGTAGGGCATTTGGCTATAGCCCAGTGGCCAACCCAGGTTTGATCCCAGACACCTTATATGGGCCCCCGAGTCCCACCAGGAGCATAAAGCCAAAAGTAAGCCCTGAGCACTGCTGGGTGTGCCCCAAAAATGAAAAAAACAAACAGACAGATAAAAAAAAGGAAGGAAAGAAATAATTTTTTAAAAAGGGAAGGAGGAAAAGAAATAATATGAGCTTCAATATTCTAATTAAAAATAATTCGTTTTTCCCCCTGGACAGCAAGATAGCAGCCGCCTTGGAGCTTTTTGGAAAGCCAGGTATGAGCCGGTGGTGGCAGGGCAACTGAAACTTCGTGGGGGGGTGGGGGGGGCGTTCCCGGCTCGTTCTTCACGCCCTACCAAGGTCTCGGGTTGCCCCCCCACAAGCAGCTCTCCGGCACGGCCATGGCTCCAGAGCCACAGAAACCAATCTCATAATTATCTGGCTCTCGGCAGAAATACTTCCAGGCCTAATAAGTAATGTATCAGAAATCCAAAATCGCATGGCCGCTATTGCAGCCGCATAGTATCATTTGGTTCTTGTAATCAGCTGTAGAAAACAAATTATTTCACAATGCCTTTTCAGCAGGTCTGATTTTGGGGTGTAAACTCTATACAACAATGGTGCATCTTTTGTTGAAACAACGAATCTAATCAAAGTAGATAAAGTAAAGTAAAAGCCCTCCCGTTGATCGTCGATTTGCTCGAGCGGGCCCAGTAACGTCTCCATTGGAGACTTTGTTGTTACTGTGTCTGGCATATCGAATACTCTCGGTAGCTTGCCGGGCTCTCCAAGAGGGGCGGAGGAATTGAACTCGGGTCGGCCATGTTGGCTGCGTGCAAGGCAGACGCCCTACCCATTGTGCCAAGCTACCGAGAGTATTGGATATGCCAGACACAGTAACAACAAAGTCTCCAATCGAGACGTTACTGGGCCCGCTCGAGCAAATCGACGATCAACGGGAGGGCCAAAGTAGATAGAGTGCTAATTAGAATTCATCTGTCTCACAGGCATTGGGAGGGGTGGGAGGGGGAATATATTGGGGTTCTTGGTGGTGAAAAATGAGTACTGGTGAAGAGAAGGTGTTTGATCATTGCATGACCGAGACTCAGACCTGAAAGCTTTGTAACTTTTCCCACAGTGATTCAATAAATAAATAAATAAATAAATAAAATTCTCACAGGTGCCAGAACAATAGTACAGCAGGTAGGTTGTTTTCCTTCCAAGTTCAATCTCCGGCACCCCATATAGTCACCAAGCCCACCAGGAGCCATCCCTGAGTGTAAAGCCAGGAGCAACCCATGAGCACTGCTAGGTGTGGATCGAAAATTAATAATAATAATAATAATAATGACTCATCATGGTAGAAATGAAATTAATGAAGCTCAAGTGTACATCATCAGATGTCATGAATGTATTAATAGTTCAATGAAGCATATAAAGTCAAGAATGGAAGCAAAATATTTAAATCATCTTCACATAAATCCTTTTGATGGATTTTAAAAGGACTGATTTGAAAATATGGGGTTACCATTCAGAGACTGAAGAATATAAATAAAAATGAACGGGAAAAGTGTATTTCAATTATGTTCTATACAATTAAAGATGTGCAAATTTGGGCCAGAGTGATAGTACAGTGGGTAAGGTGCTTATCTTGCATGTAGCTGACCCAGGTTCAAACCCCAACATCCTTTATGTTCCCATGGGTATCACCAGGAATGATTCCCAAGGCCAGAGCCAGGAGTAACTTCTGAGGATCTCTAGTGTGGCTCAAAAACTAAAAACATAAACTATCACTATCACTATCACCCCGTTGTTCTTCAATTCGCTCGAGCGGGCCCAGTAATGTCTCCATTCGTCCCTGTCACGTGCAAGTGTAGCCCGATGGCATATAGGGGGCTCCTTCAGGGTCAGGGGAATGAGGACCATTCATTGTTACTGTCTTTGACATATCGAGTATGCCACAGGTAGCTTGTCAGGCTCCTCCGTGCAGGCGGAATACTCTTGGTAGCTTGCCGGGCTCTCCGAGACGAATGGAGGCTTTCGGGGCAGCCTCTAACCACCTTTATAGGTGTTCCTAGTCAGGCATAGAGGCGGGTATGATACTCTCAGTAGCCTGCCGGGTTCTCTGAGAGTGAGAAGTAGAGAATAAGAGGTCGCTTCTGGGAGCTTGATTTTTGAGCTTCATTAATTTCTACCATGATGAGTCATATTATTATTTTTTTTTTTCGACCCGCACCTAGCAGTGCTCATGGGTTGCTCCTGGATTTGCTCTCAGGGATTCCTCCTAGTGGGCTTGGTGACCATATGGGATGCTGGAGATTGAACTTGGGTTAGCCGCGTGCAAGGAAAACAACCTACCTGCTGTACTATCGCTCTGGCCCCTGTGAGAATTATATTGAAGCTCGCATTCTTTCTTTCCCTTCTTCCATTTTTTAAAAAATTATTTCTTTCCTTCCTTTTTTTTGTTTTGTTTTGTTTTTTCATTTTGGGGCACACCCAGCAGTGCTTAGGGCTTACTTTTGGCTTTATGCTCCTGGCGGGACTCGGGGGGCCATATAAGGTGCCTGGGATCAAACCTGGGTTGGCCACTGGGCAATAGCTAAATGCCCTACCTGCTGTGCTGTCATTGGACAGACACTTTTTTTAATTTTTATTAGTGAAACACCATGAGGTACAGTTGTACACTTACAAATTTTTGTGCTTGGGCTTCAATTATACAATAATCAAGTACTCAAAAATATAAACAAATAAACAAAAATAAAAAGGGCCGGAGAGACAGTACAGTGGCCAGAGTGCTTGCCTTGCACATAGCTGACTGGATTCTATCCCCAGCAGGCTATATGGTACTCTGAGCCTGCCAGGAGTGACCACTGAGCGCAGAGCCAGATGTCAGTCCTGGACACAGTCAGGTATGATACCAAACCAATAATAAATAAGTAAAAATAAAGATGTACAATGTTAAACTATGTGAATGTGGCCAGAGACAGCCAAGGGTTCAAGGAGCACATCTTGCATGCCACCAATCCCTGGCACCACATGGTTCACTTTCCTGAGCTTAGCAGATATCCCTAGCACCATATGGTCCCCCAAGCACAGCCAGGTGTAGTCCTGAGTGGCCACCAGCACCCTTCGGTACCAGTATCCAGCAGCACCTCAGCACTGTTAGGTTTCTCACTGAACCACCTGCAAGAGAACCATCGGGAGCGGCCCCCAGATCTGTGAGTACTGCTTGGGAGTCTCCCCTGGGGCCAGGGAAATGGCTAAAAGGGCAAGAGCACATGCCTTGCATGTAGAAGTCTAAGTTCAATCCCAGCCCACACAGACCTCAGAGCACCAAGCTAGTGACAGCCCCCAAACAATATATATGTTGTTTATATATATTTACTTGATGATGAAGCTGAAGATGAGTCAAGAGATGGTCCAAACAGGGGGTCCCAAGCAAGTAGATCACTGGTCCCTTTCCTACATTTTAAAAATGAGAATTTTAAAAATGAGAACTTCAATAAAAGTAACATTTAAAAATGTAACATTTAAAAAATGAGAATTTCAATAAAAGAGTACTTAATTAACATAAAATGTAGTTACTTCTTTTTATTTCATAGAACTCTAACAGTTAAACATATATGACTGAAAAGCTGGTGATGTGGGGATATGGTTCAATGCTAGAGCAAATGCCTCTCATGTAAAAGACCCAGGATTCAACTTCTGGCCCTGTCATGGAAACACACACACACACACACACACACACACACACACACACACCAACTGGATATTCTGCCAATACTTAGCCAATACATGTTAAGTATTTGTTAACTGCTATAAGCAAAACCTACACTAACATCATGTAAATTCAACACGTTATAAAGCTCAAACTCTTCCAGAAACTGATAGAATTGGGATAATGACTTGAGTTTTACAAATGAAAAGCAGTACAAGGGGTTGGAGCAATAGTACAATAGTAGAGCTCCAGCAGGGAAGGTGTTTGCCTTGCACGTGGTCAACCCAGGTTCAACCCCCAGCATCCCATACAGTCCCCTGTGCACGACCAGAAGTAGTTCCTGAGTACAGAGCCAGGAGTCACCCCTGAGCATCCCGGAAGGAGGGAGGGAGGGTGGGAGGGAAGAAGGGAGGCAGGCAGAGAGGCAGGCAAGCAACACAGACTGAATGAGGTGCCAGAGGACACACAACTATTTAATTCTGTAACAGTGCCAGGTTTCTGATTCAGCTTGGCCTGAAGCTTGGTCAGAATGTTTCTTTAGTGGAATGAAATAAAACAGAAATGTTATATGGCCATACATATACAAAGGGGGAGTTCTCGGATACAGAAAAGTGCATTAAGCCCAAGCCACATGATAAACTTCAAAGAGCCAATGACGGTTGATCATGCGTGGACAGACTTTCTCTCCCAGGTGAAAGAAAACAGTGCAGTAAATGGTGAAGCAAGCATGCCTTTATATGACTGGGATGCAAATGCATGGACAAAAATTCAAAATTCTAGTGTCAAAAGACTGAACCAAAGACTGCAAAACTAAGGACTTTCCCCACTAACCTCTCCGATTCTTTAATAAAATCATCACACAAATTTTTTTTTCTCCATTTCACTCATATCCCTTTAAGGTGTCTGGTCCAGGTCTGGAGAGATAGTTCAGAGGCTAAGGTGAACACTTTGTATGCAGGAATCCTGGGGTCCATTCCTAGTATAACAGAAGTCCCAAGCACTACTACTAGTGGCTACTGCTAACTGTAGTCCAAAACCAAAGCCACAAACAGATGTCTAACTGCTAGATCCTGAAGTGCATGATCTGACCAGCACCTCTTGTTTTTAACCAATTAATTTGTTAGAAAGGTATATGTGGAACTTACTCATTAGGTATAGCAGAATGTCTTGATTTTGTTAACTCTTCACCTAATTAAAAATTAAGAAAGTATTTACAATTTCAGTAATAAAATTTTAATGTAAATGCCATATATATCACATTACTATGAACGAATTTTAAATTCTATAACAAATTATGAAGAAAAGGAGAAACAAGCTCTCAGTAAGTTATCTTATTTAAGAATATTAAAATAGTGGAATATTATTTTTACTTCTTCTAACACGTTAAGACATGACTTAAGAAAATTAAACCATGATAATCATTAATATAAAACTGCTGTTTAGAAGAGAAAAAAATATGGGCTGAAATTTCTGAACTTATTAGAAATGCTTAAGTATTACTCAAGAAATTTTTTAACTGATGACTCAAAAATCATTCGTGACTCATTTTTCAAGTTCTAATTACACTATTTTATTTTCTGAAACTATTAACTCTGAAGTGACATCTTGATTGTGAAAATTAAATAAGAAATTGGGGGGATGGTTACACCCAGCGATACTCAGGGGTTACTCCTGGCTCTGCACTCAGGAATTACTCCTGGCAGTGCTTGCGGAACCAAATGGGATCCTGAGGACCAAACCCGTGTCAGCTGCCCACTGTACTATCACTCCGACTCTGAAAATTCAAATTTTTTAACCTGAAACAACACTGTCTTTATAAAATAGTATGTTTTGCTATCTTTTGAATTTGTAATGTGAATTATTGCATAAGCAACTGATAGACAGGTGAGTAGCATCACTAATACAAAAATCAGGGTGGTTCATGAGCACTTTTCCTTGCATCTCAATGGTTTTTTTTAACAGCTGGCAATAACCAATGAACATGAAATGCATCAATATAAGCAACTACAGCAAAATATGTAGTGTATCGTATACCCATTTACATACGTGATCCCACCTGGCTGTCTGGCCTCCAGGGATGGATTGTTCCATTTTCTATCTTTCTGCTTTTACCCTCGTCTCCTTTAACTCTGTAATCCTCTACCTACTCTTTTTCTTCACATTCCCTATCATAAAACTATTTAATTTCTGCTATAAAGGTAAAAGTCTACTTTTAGTTTGGTATTTATAATGAACTCAATGGGTCTTTTAAATTATACTAGAATTTTACTTAAGACTGATGTTAGAGATTTTAAGGTATTCACAAAATTTCAGTTCTTCATTGGGCCATGTCAACTTTTCTTCCCCGGTGAGACTTGTTATTCTTAAACCCTACCAAAGAAACTGTTCTTTGTGACATGACTTAAAAAATAAGCCAAATTTTACTCATCGTAAAATACCTTACTACACACGAGGTAAAGTTATGAAATGCAGCTGAACAGCTGGACAATCTTAATCAGAAGTTATACTTTGGCTGTACTGATTTTTGAAAATCAGTGTATTAGTGTTTAAAGCATGCCTCAAAGCTAAAAGAAATACCCTAATCAGTTGTTTTCAATTTAATGAAAGTATCCTTCTAGTCTGTCCTTAAGGCTCACAAGAAAAGAGCATTTATTTCTCTACATATCAAAACTATTACTGACTTAGTAAACTGCCCAATAAAATTTAATATATAAGGTAACCAACTTAAATATCAAACTTACTAGATGAATTCCGATTCATCTGCACCTAGAACAGAAATACAAAAAGCAAATGCCATTTTTAAAAAATTTCAATTTAGTAATAAAGTGTTTAGTAAAACAGTACCAGAAACCAGTTGTTTTTAGTGTGTATGTTCAATTATAAATTGTATTTACATAAAAAGACAATACTTACTATAGTTTTTTTATAGTACAAACTACAGTCTGTAGTAGTCAATATTTAAAAATACTAAAATAGTAGTCAGTCTTTAGTAGTCAATATGCACTGTAGTACTGTCATCCCGTTGTTCATCGATTTGCTCAAGCGGGCACCAGTAACGTCTCCATTGTGAGACTTGTTGTTACTGTTTTTGGCATATCGAATACGCCACGGGGAGCTGAGTGATAGTACAGCGGGTAGGGCATTTGCCTTGCATGCAGCCGACCCAGGTTTGATTCCTCTATCCCTCTCGAAGAGCCCGGAAGCTACCGAGTAGTCAATATAATGTTTAAAAATACTAAAATCTACAGCCATAAAATAACTTGCTAATTAAAATTTTTTAACACAAATATTTTTAAATCAGGGTCCAGAATGATAGTACAAGGGTCTTGCCTTGCATGTAGCTAACTCGTGTTTGATCCTAAATACTCCATATGGTCCCCTAAGCCCCCAGGAATGATTCCTGAGTGTGGAGCCAAGAGTAAGCCCTAAGCACAGCCAGGTGTTGCCTAAAAACAATAAATAAAGAAAATGTATTTATTATAATAAATTATCTAACGCTAAATAAACCTTGTACTTACTGGAATGCATCTCTATCAGTATGTGGAAGGAAAACGGCATAGTGCCAATTTTGGAATTTATTATGTTAATTTCCTTTTCTCTTAATTTCTCAATTCCTTTCAGAATCCTACCTAGAATAGATACACCTTAAAACATTCGTGGGGAAGAGGGGGACTTGAGGGTGTACCCAGCTGTGCTCAGAGCTCATTTCTGCCGCTGTGCTCATCAAGATTCACTCCTGCCAGCGCTCAGGAGCCATATTCGGAGTGTGTGCGTGCAAGGCAAGTGCCTTACCCCGCTTCTATCTGGTTTTAGGCCACAGCCACGGGTGCCCAGGGCGTACACCTGGCTCTGCACCAGGGATTACTCCTGGCGGTGCTCAGGGGACCAAGCAGTACTGGGGATCAAACCCAAGAAAGCCGCAAGCAAAGTAAGTGCCCAACACACTGTACTATCTCTCCAGTCCCCAAGATGAATTTTTTTAATAGGATATGGAGATACAGCAAACTGGGCAACCAAAAGTACTTATGATACCCACTTTTCAAATAGCACATTAGATATATTCTTAACAGAATTTCCTGGTACGCATTAATGAATATGAAGTTATTCATATTTTAAATATAACTTTATTTAAAAACAGGAAAAAAAGAGAAGAACCCAGAGGAGAGAATTTGAAGCCAGAGATGATCTCAGTACCCAGAGACAGATGCTTACTAACATTCTGGTATACATTACTCTAGGTTTTAGTTTTATTTGTATGCATATTTTAAATTAGTTATGCTCTTTCCAATAAAAGTACTTAATGGTATCAAAACTTCCTACTTCATACATGTGCCTAACAATGCATATATACATCTACACGCTATCATTTATTTAATGTCATTAGCCTCAACACTGTGTAGTAATGTGGTAGAATAAAAATTTCAGTTCAGAATATCTTTTTGAAGGGAAAACAGTTCTAAGTTTAAACTCGAAGGCTGAACTTGTTCAAGTGGTAGAGTACATGCAGAGCACGTGCAAGGGCCTGAGTTTAATTCCTGGCACCACACGTTCCCCTCCAACCCCAGTAAAGCTGGGTATGGACTTGGTGGTTCCTTATGACCACTGGGGTGGCCCCTAAAAAATTTACAAGCTGAATAAAATTCTGGGTGCATTTCAGGGAGAAAATCGTATTTCTCTAAATAAATTCATAAAGACTGCTTCAAATATATAATGAAATAAGTTGATTGAAATACCTAAAACTTTATATTATCAAAGAAACAGGTTTATTATAAATTATGAGCATGTCCATACTATATTTTGAGCGTGTACATATTATAATGAGCATGGACATACTATAGTATGGACATACTACGCTGCCATTCTAACTTTTTTCCTGATAGTTTGGCATATCTGAATTTAGCATGTGACACAAATGGAAGTGGCTTTATTACTGTGGCTTTTTCCCCCAAGAGCTGGTTACAGTGCAATATTATTAAAACTAAAGGATTAATCATTATCCCTAACAATTCTTTTTTTTTTGGGGGGGGGGGTCACACCCGGCGATGCACGGGGTTACTCCTGGCTTTGCACTCAGGAGTTACTCCTGGCGGTGCTCAGGGGACCATATGGGATGCTGGGAATCGAACCTGGGTCAGCCGTGTGCAAGGCAAACGCCCTACCCGCTGTGCTCTCTCCAGCCCCTATTATCCCGAACAATTCTTATCGTTGCCTTTCCTTGCATGAAAAGTAAAACAATTGTAATAGTGACATACCAAAAGTGCAAAGATAAAATTTCATCTTTAAAAGTATTTTTAGGGGCTGGAGCAATAGCACAGCGGGAGGGCATTTGCCTTGCACGCAGCCAACCTAGGTTTGATGCCCAGCATCCCATGTGGTCCCCTGAGCACTGCCAGGAGTAGTTCCTGAGTGCATGAACCAGGAGTAACTCCTGTGCATCGCCGGGTGTGACTCAAAAAGAAAAAAAAAAGTATTCTGAAGGAATTCACTTACAAGGCCACAAAAGATGAGTGAAGACTAACTCAATTAATTCATAAAAGTCTGCCTGAAACAGACAGCACTGCTCATAATAATAAACATGGCAGAAATAGTGGAATTTCAACATTTTCACTTCATTATAAAACACATTTTCACAAGGAAAAAAAAAGTCAAAACTCGTAAGTATAACTATAAAACTATAAATTAAGCTTAACAAATTACAAATTAAATATTTTCTAATCCAATATGCTAACCTATTAAGTGACATTTTACTTAATCCTAAAGCTTACCACATACAGGTAGCTCAAAATAAAAGTATATAATGGCATCGATGTATAATAAGGCATATGAACTTGCTCATTTTCTTACGTACAGTTATTGCTGGGGGGAGTGATATATTCCCTATAGATTCTTTTAATTCATCCAAGGTAGCTTGGGAGTTATTTGGATGCATGGGTTTGATTTCTATCCGGTATTTCTTTGGCTCTTCATCTTCAGAATCAGAATCACTAGATGAGTAGAAATGGTTCTCTTTGGTATGTGAGTTATCAGTTAAAGACTTTAATTTTTAAATTATCTTAATGCATAACCAGTTTTCCACACATGTTATAAAAAGGAACATAAATCATTAAGTGAACTTTAACGGTAATGTAGTGATCAAGCAAACACCAAATAAGAACGTGAGGACATATTTTACTGTGATTAGTAAATATTTAGGAATTTTTATTAAAAAGATTATTTCACTATGTCTGTGTCTGAACACAACCCATAAGAATGGCCAGGTAAAAGGATATCATTCTGATCTGCTTCTGGTTTTATGCTATACCCTTCTTCATCGACATCAGGAATGTTCTATAGGAAAAAGGAGAAAAGAATTGACTGGAGTGAAGTACCCAACTACAAACACAAGTTACACCAGAGAAACACCAGATGTATTCCCGAGGGGCTGTATCATTTAGAACATCAACAGAATAACAAAATTATTAGCAACATGGAAAATCATTGAACCAGCTTCAAGGTCATACTCTATGCTTCCCATCACTGAAAGGAAAAAAAACTGAGCAAGAAAGAAGCTGGAAGGGAGAAGAAGGGCTCAGAGAGGAATGCCAGCGATTTCTAAACAACCAAACATTTACCAGGATTTCTATAAACTGATAATGCAGGTATGATGAAGGGAAGTGGTTAAATCAGAGACTGACAAGTAGAAATACAATTAAAAATCCAGGAAGAAAAGATGACAAGACTACCAAGAAAATTAAAATGATACTAAAACACCATCGCTCACCCATGAAAGTCAGAAAAATTTAAAGGTATGAAAATATACTGTTGGCAAAGCTGCAGAGAAAATGTTTTTATACTTTGGTGCTGTAAATTTAAAAAATAATAACAACATAATCCCTTAATCAAGATATATGCATATGTAAGAAGGAGAGGGAGAAAGATACTATTTCATCATTATTGATATAAGCAGAAACTGAAAAACACTAAGGCATCTGACAGAGCGGGAACTGGTTAGATAAATTATTAAATATTTACTTGATGACATAAGAGATGTTACAGAGTTACTAGGTCCTGTGATTGCTGATACAGGAAAAGCTTAAAAAATAAAATAACAGGGGCTGGAGAGACAGCACAGCGGGTAGGGCATTTGCCTTGCATGCGGCCAACCCAGGTTTGATTCCCAGCATTCCATATGGTCCCCTGAGCACCGCCAGGAGAAACTCCTGAGTGCAGAGCCAGGAGTAACCCCTGTGCATCGCCAGGTGTGACCCAAAAAGCAAAAATAAATAAATAAATAATAAAATAACAGTTCTTTAAAGGACTGATACTTTCAAAGTGTCAGGAGGAAATGTGGCCCAGTGGTAGAGAGCCAGCCAACTGCCTTGCATGTGTGAGGTCCTAGGTTTGATGCCTGACTAAATAAAGAAATAAACAGTACATTTTAAGAAAGAGCGAGTTCCAGGACACTTGTGGCTACCCTTCAGGGAGAAGTGTCAGGGAAAGGAGGCTTCCGGTTTTTAACGGTTCATTTTATTTAACAGTTATGTAATCTTTCATTTATGGCTAATCTTGTTTGTTAATTAAGAAACAATAATGGCTCACATTAACAGAGATAGTATGTTATTTTCTGCTGCTTTTGTAAAGGTCTGTGTCACTGAGCAAACTTTAGAAATGAAGGGAGTGTCACCAGGAAGAGCACTCAGAGGGTGGAGCCCAGGTTTTGTCTGTGGGAGCCCCGGGTTTGACTCCCACACTGCCTGATCCCCTGAGAACTGCTGGGAGAAGCTCCTAAGGACCTAGTCAGGAGGAACCCTGGATGTCTCCAAGAAACAAACCATAAAACAAAATACAGTAAGTAAATATTTGAGTCTGGTATAGTTTCTAAGAAAAAGCAATACGCTGAGCTGCTCCAGATTTAAAAATAAAGCATCCATTTTTCAAAGACAGTAAGGATGAGGGACCAGAGCAATAGTACAGGAGGCAGAGTGTTTGCTTTGCACGTAGCTGACCTGGGTTTGATCCCCAGTAGTCTATACACTTCCCCAAGCACCACCAGGAGTAATTCCTGAGTGCAGGAGCCAGAAGTAACCTCCACCATTGCTAGGTGGGGCCAAAAAAAAAAAAAATAGAAAGAAAGAAAGATAGTAAGAATTAACTTCTATTTAAATAGAAGGCATTTGAAAAATGCAAAGCGAAAATGCATCTGCAAAGTAATTTTTATAGTGAATTTACAATGGCATTTAATATTTTTCTTGAGAAGGTTTGTAAACAACTCAATATGAAATAGGTGCTGATATCAAAGTAAAATCTACTTACCAGTGAATCTGCATCCGGGCTTTCCCTGTTAAACAGAGTATTAAAAATATTCAGCTGTTTGATTTGATTGTTAAATTATATTGAAAAATTTTTATCATGGTAATAAAACATAACTTTCATTTAAACTCTACAAAAAATATTGAGAGAAATAGATTAAATCAGAAAGATTAAAATATGCCAAAGGAGGAGAGAGACGGTACAGGGGGAAAGGCACCAAGCTGCCTTGCATTTGGCCGAGTTCAGCTTAGTCCCTTTATCCCCAGCACTGCATTGGGTCGCCCAAAACACCACCAAGAATGACCCCTGGGCTCAGAGCCAGGAATAAGCCCTAAGCATCATCAGGAGTTTCCCAAAATCCAGAATAAACTACTTTCAAAACAATATACTCATGAATCATATCAAAAAAGCTGTAAGAATTTCTAGCAGTTTTTCATTTTTCAGGCAGAGAAAGTAAAAAGTGAAAAATTTCCCTCATACAATATACAGCTTAAAATATAGTCTAGATGTTTATTATAAACATATAATTACAGTATAAATAATTATAGCACTTTTATAATATTTTTCCACTTTCATAATATTTTAACATGTTTCATCTGAAGTACTTTCCATATGTAATTACATATGAGTGAAAAATAATTTCCTACAAGTATGCTAAATGCCACAGTTAAGATTCCAGTTGGAATAGATTTCAGGTCTAATGTAAAATATAGTTGAGAACTGGCTTTATCACTTAACCGACAAATAGGAGTTTCGACATAAGCTAGTGAAAAATATTTTAAATGCAATATCATACGTTATATGTTATATACTAATTTTATATTTTTAATGCCGTTAAATTAAATCTATACTCCATCCTCTATTTACCAAGGATGACCTACCATTAAAAAAAAAAAGTTAGGACTTATTATTCCCTCCCACCATTTAATATTTCCATTTATTTTTACTTACATCACTATGTGTCTACATGCTCAAAGTTGTCTTAAAAGATTTTTTTCACACTTCATTTTCTAATTATGTATTTGTTATTCAATAAAATTTCATTTCTCCCCCAAACAGTCCATTCATGTATCTAAAAAATCTTTTTGTTTTAATTGAATCAGCAAAAGTTACAAAGCTTTCCTGATTGAGTTTCAGTCATAAAATGATCGCACACCCTTCCCTCCACTACTGTACATTTTCCACCACCAATGTTGCCAGGATCCCTCCCGCCACCCCCACCAGACCCCACCCCCTGCCTCTATGACAATTTCCTCTTTCGCTCTCTACTTTTGGGCATTATGGCTTGCAGAACAGATACTGAGAGAGGCCATCATGTTTGATCCTTTATCTACTTTCAGCACCCATCTCCCATCCCAAGTGATCCCGCCAACCATCACTGACTCGGTGATCCATTCTCTACCATAGCTGCCTTCTCCCCCAGTTCATGAGGCAGGCTTTCAACCATGGAGCAGTCTTCCTAGCCCTTGTTCTCTACTGAAGAATTCTTATTAAGTTGTCAACTATAAGATTTCTCTTAGGATTAATCCTTGCAGAATTTTTTTGTTTTCTCTGTACTTTAATTTTTTGGATGTATATTTTATAAAAGTATTTTTGAAGTCTCAATTTCAAGACACAAAAGATTTCATCTTAAATTTTTTTGATTTGGGGAAAGAAAGGAGTGGGAGGGCAAAATGGGGGCGATGGGGTTAAAAAACAATTTTCTTTTGTCAGGGGCAGGGGGAACCATATCAAGCAGTGCTCAGGTTTTACTCCTGGCTCTGTGCTCAGGAATAATTTCTGGTAGTGTTCAGGTGACCTTATGGGGTGTTGAGGACTGAATGGGGGTCAGACACATGCAAGACAAGCATCTACCCTCTGAACTATTTCATCGGCCCCTTTTCTTAAAATTTTAGTAAGAAAAATTAACACATCTAAAATCAAGGATTGTGTGGGGCTGGAGCTATAGCACAGTGGGTAGGGCATTTGCCTTGCATGTGGCCGGCCCGGGTTCAATCCCCAGCATCTCATATGGTCCCCAGAGCACCGCCACGAGTAATTCCTGAGTGCCTGAGCCAGGAGTAACCCTTGTGCATCACTGGGTGTGACCCAAAAATAAAAATAAAATAAAATCGAGGATTGTGAATTTATTTGGAAAAACATATTTTTCACACTTTAGACATGTTCATACTTTGTTATTTTAATGTTTCTTTAATTCAAAAATCCTGTTCTTATAATATTAGAAAGAATTTCAACAATAATTAATATACTTACACTGACTCTGCATCCTTTTCCTTTTTAATTATTCCTGGTAAACCGAAAGTCTTTCTTTTCCTTGGTTTTACACCTTAAAAAAAATGTACATCATAACAGAAATAAATATCAATAAAGTATTGATATATAATAATTAGCAACTTTTTACTTTGTATGAAAATTATAAATGAAACTAACAAAATTACCAATAGCTTATTATATACGCTCTTGCTTCCTGGTAAGTATATTAAAATCACAAATTAAAATCTTGTGTCTTGGGCCTCGAGCGATAGCACAGTGGGTAGGGCGTTTGCCTTATACGCAGCCAACATGGCCTACCCGGGTTCAATTCCCAGCAACCCATATGGTCCCCCGAGCACCGCCAGGAGTAATTCCTGAGTGCATGAACCAGGAGTAATCCCTGAGCATCGCCGGGTGTGACCCAAAAAGCAAAAAATAAATAAATAAAAAAAATAAAATCTTGTGTCTTCACACCAAATTTCCTGATAACTATTAACAACAAATTTGGGCAAAAGGAAAGCTGCTAAGCTTAAAATTTAAATCAGGACTAGACCGTTAATAGATTTATCTTGTTTATTTGGCCTACTATTCACCAAAAGAATATAGAACATTCTTTTAATCTTCTCCTAGGTTACCTCTAAGTCCCCTCAGATAAAAATGCATTTGCAGGTATCTTTACATTTCAAAGAAGGTACATAATTCACAGCATAAGACATTTTTTTTTTTAATGAATGAAGGTCAAGCCAGATTTCCTGTCTAGAGAATCCCAAAATATAAATGTGCTGCTTAAATAAAAATATAAGGGGCTGGACAGACAGAACAGCAATCATAGTGTCTGCCTTGCATCTGGCTGTCTCAGATTCAATTCCTGCACCCCAGATGTTCCCCCCAAAGCACTGCCAGGAGTGATCCCTGAGTGCAGAGCTAGAAGTTAGCCCTGAGCACTGCTGGTTGTGGATAAAAAGATAATACAGGGCCAGAAAGATGGCTTAGAGGACCAGGGTACATCTTGCATGTGAGTCCCCTGCGTTCAATCCTGGGTACTGCATGGTTCCTCGAGCACTGCCAGATGTGCCCTCTAAGCCCCACCAGAAGTGTCCCCCACTCCAAAAATGACACGACCAATTCCTTTCACAGAATAACATAAGGGCCAAAAAGACAGTCAGCAAGTACTGTCTTTCTTCACCTGGCTGACCAGGGTTGACCCCTGGTGTGAGCCCCCAAGCCCCACCAGTATGTGATCTCTGAGTACTAAACAAGGAGTAATTAACCTAAAACAACAGGTCTCTCTCTCTCTCTCTCTCTCTCTCTCTCTCTCTCTCTCTCTCTCTCTCTCTCTCTCTTCCCCGTTGTTTTTGCTTTGGGGACACACCAGTGGTGCTCAAAGGTTACCCTTGGCTCTCCACTCAGGGGTCACTCCTGGTGAGCTTGGGGACCATATGGGATACCAAGAATGGAGCCTGGGTCTGCCGCATGCAAGGCAAGCACCCTACCTGCTGTACTGTCTCCCCATGCCCAGGTCTTCCTCTTCTGTGACTTCTCCCACCCCACCTCCTAATCGACAAGGGCCACTCCAGTGGTATTCAGGTAATCCGAGGCACTACTAGTTACAACTCAATCCTGTTGTACAGGTCTGGCATGTGCTCACATATGGGTGATACCTGGCAGTGTCAGGAGGCATGCAGTGCTAAGGATCAGAGTCACCCCCCCCCCCACAAAAAAAAAAAAAGTAAAAGGTCAGTCATACTATTGGAATTTAGTACTTAAAACTAAAGTAGCTTGGGGCCTGAGCAATAGGATAGGGCGTAGGGCATATGCCTTGCACGCGAATGACCTGGGTTTGATCCTTGGCATCTCATATGGTCCCCTGAGCACTGCCAGGAGTAATTTCTAAGTTCAGAGCCAATAATAAGCCCGACCATCATCAGGTGTTCCTTAAACAGCCAAAAAAAAAAAAAACCTGAAACAAAAACAAAAACTAATGTAACTTACTCTTCGAGAGCTACAGCATCAAAGTCTCATCTTAGTGATGAGCAGCTCACGGCATTTTTTTCTTTTCTTAGCTGAATGTCATTCAACTAAGTAAGCACCACAACCAGGGTGAGAATTCAGATATCTGGGAATAACGTACATGCTTCTAGGTAAAATTAACTCCCTGGTCTGTATGTTTACATTAAAATATTTTTTAAATTGGGCTAAAGAGAGATTACAATGGATAAGGTCCTGCCTTATACACAGCCAACGTGGGTTCGATCCCTGGTGGGGCTTGGTGGGTGCTCCAATCTCCTGGCTGGGCTTGGGGCACCCCCAACATCACCACCATCACACCTACCCCAAGTCCTGCCAGAAGTAATCTCTGAGCACTGCCAGGTCTGGCAGAAAAATAAAAAACATATATATCTCTATTATTTACATATATAGACATATATTTTTAAATAAAGTATGTATTTTTTTCATAAAAGACATCATCATTCACTAAAGAATGCTGAAGTACAAAGAAGTTAAATCTTTGTATTTCTATTTTTCATTTTTTATATTCCTGAGTATTTTTTATATTCCTCAGTATTTTTTCTCAGTAAAGTAGCAAGACAACTGTAAAACTCATAAAAACTTCTGAAACTGTAAGAAGTCTGCACCCCAGAGCTCCTAACTACTCCAATAATGACCTACATATAAACAACAAATCATTTATCCAAATTTCTATATAGGTCATGAAAATAACCAAAAGACTGCTGTCAAACTAATTCTAGTAGCTAATAAAACATCAAGCATCTCTTGGGCTTCATACAAAGACAAACATCAATTTAAAAGAGGCCATGTACTCTTTCTCCACAACAAATAAGGCCTCAGCCACTTGAAATGACAGTACAATTAGCATCATTAATTACTAAAAAGTAACCCATTGTAGAATATGCATTATACATGAATGAAACATGCTGAGCTACATATTTATGATAGAGTAAAGATAGTTCTCAAGACAGACAACAATCTATATATATATAAAAACAAGTACATGTTAATATTTTAGTATAGATATCCCAACATACTAATATTCCTCCAGGCATACCTATTACATTTTGGGTTTTTTTTTTTTTTGCTTTTTGGGTCACACCCGGCAATGCACAGGGGTTACTCCTAGCTCTGCACTCGGGAATTACCCTTGGCAGTGCTCAGGGGACCATATGGGATGCTGGGAATAGAACTTGGGTCAGCTGCGTGCAAAGCAAACGCCCTACCCACTGTGCTATTCCTCCAGCCCCAGTATTTTTTTTTAAGTAATCAATAGACTGTGCAGGTCTTCAAACTACATGTCCATATTTTACACCACTTTATGCCACTGGAGAGTAGCTTCTCTTTATTTGTTAGATATATAGTAGATAGCACAGCGGTAGGGCATTTGCCTTGCGCACAGCTGGCCTGGCTGAGCCAGGTTCGATTCCTCCGCCCCTCTCAGAGAGCCCGGCAAGCTACCGAGAGTATCTCGCCCACATGGCAAAGCCTGGCAAGCTCCCCGTGACATACTCAATATGCCAAACACAGTAACAACAAGTCTCACAATGGAGACATTACTGGGCCCGCTCGAGCAACTCAAAGAACAATGGGAGGACAGTGCTACAGTGCTACTACATTAAAAGCAGTCAATTTACCTTCAACTGCACTAGTAGGGTCACATTCTTCAAATTCAATAAGGCCTGAAAAAAAAACAAGATAAATGTTAGTTAAAAAAGAAAAACATATGGTAGTAAAAACACAACAATTCATATCTCATGACGTCTTTTTAATGTTCTGAAATGTGTTCTATATCTGACAAAGTATAAAATACAAGCAACTGAAAAAACCAAATAACTCAAACAGTTAAAAAAAATCCACCCGAGACTATTATTAGAATCAGAATTTATGGAAAACAATTTATAGTAAACTAGCTAACTGGAGAATAGAGTTCATCTGACACGGTGCTTCTACTCTGCACCAGAGAGAAACTAAGCCTGAGAAGATGCAATGCCTGAACGTGGGCCGTCAAGAGAGTCAATCCCCACCAGGATGGAAGCCTAGGCTCCACCTGAACTGGCAAACTGAGTCCTTTTACACTTTTAGACAGCAAATATACACTTGCTGATCAAATAAATTTATTAACCACATACCTAGTTATGATACTGAAATTACAAACCAGACTTCACTAACCTAACAAGGCAGTTCAAGGAATCTGAACATCAGTTTACAAGAAATGGGAAGAGTTTCTGTGTGAAGGATACCTGCAAAGTAATTTACCACTGGTATTGACTAAAGACTGGAAGAAGATGATAAAAAGGAAATCAGCTAGAAAACAAGAGAGTCCTCAAGTGACATCTGTTGAGACTAGTCTTAAATGCCATAAAATATGGGATATTTCATGTATGGGAAACACCAAATGTAGCTATTAAAGGCTGTGGCAAAAGTATAAATTACTCTTTTATTAAAATAGCCCCTGAGCATTAGCAGCTGGTGACCTCACCCCCAGCCTCCCAAAAAGAGGAAAAAAATTTCAAATCTAATTTGTATCTTTTTTGTTTTGTTTTGTTCTGTTTTGGTTTGGGTTTTGGGCCACACCCAGCAATGCTCAGGGAGTGCTTACTCCTGGCTCTACATTCAGGAATCACTCCTGGCGGTGTTCAAGCAATCATTTGGGATGTCGGGGATCAAACAGGGGTCTGTGGCATGCAAGGCAAGATCCTAGCCGCTCTACTATTTTTCCGGCGCTGTATCAAAATCTTAAAGAAATGTTGTGCAATGGAATACAGTTAGCAGTAACCTTTAACCATCACAAAGTATTTTGTAAAATGACAACATTAAAATATATAAATTATTTAATACATTTTATTGTTTATTATTTATATTATTGTTTATTATTTAATACATTTTATTGTTCGGGGCTGGAGTGATAGCACAGCGGTAGGGCGTTCGCCTTACACGCGGCCAACATGGCCGCCCCAAGTTCGATTCCTCCGCCCCTCTCGGAGAGCCCGGCAAGCTACCGAGAGTATTCGATATGCCAGACACAGTAACAACAAAGTCTCCAATGGAGACGTTACTGGGCCCGCTCAAGCAAATCGACGATCAACGGGAGGGCCTTTACTTACTTTTACTATTGTTTGGGAATCAATTTTAAACCTCGGGTTACTAATAGCGAAAGCTTTGTCTAGTTCAAAACTGACCTCAATACTCAAGTAAGGGGGCGAGACGATGCTTAGTGGCAAGTGCAGACTCAAGTTAAGATGCCAATGCCACCTGCACGTGACAAGGCAATCCAGACCGTCCATCAAGAAAGGGCCAGTAAGACGGCTCAGTGACTTGAGCATGGGAAGCTCATTCGGAACTTAACCCCCAATGCGGCCCCCACACTGAGGCATTCCTGATCAGTTCATAATTGGGGGCCCCAGCAAAGGAAAGTGTAAGAGGACACCTGAGCAGGAGCACTCGAGCAGGAGGGTAGGGCCTCTTGTCTTGCACGTGGCTGGCCTGGATTCAACTGCTGGTACCCCATGTGGTATTCCCAGTCCCACCAGAAGTGATTCTGGAGCACAGAGCAAGGTGTGGACCAAAACCAAGTAAAAATAAATAAATAAGGAAAAACCAGAAATAAGTCTGGGGTACTCCAATCAAGCCTATTTCTGCAGATGCTTGAAAGCACAGAACACTAGGTTCTAATCAGAAGTCAAAGTTAAGCCTCTTAACAAGTCCTTGACCCGGAAACTTCATGGAAAGAAGACTGAGGATGAATAGGGTGTGGCGGGGAGAAAACAGGAAGCAAGGAGGCAACTTAGAACAATGGGAGTCAATGACTTCATTTTCAAGTTTGCTCCAGGCCTGTGGAATGCAACACAGCCACATTCCTAGAAGCTGAGACAAGGGTCCAGGTAAGGCCAAGGGGAAGGGAGCATCCAACTCCTTAGTGGTGGGATGCAAAGGGCACAGGCCTCAAGCTTTGGTTCAGTCTCTGTCTCTGTCTGCTGGCTAATTACTGTGAACTACTCTCTTTTTTTTAAAAGCCAGGCAAAAATATTTTTTAAAATTTATATGGTGGGTAGTAACAGTATCTTTCACCATGTGTATTTTGGCTTTTTTCCTTTTGTTTGCTTTTGGGCCACACCTGGTGATGCTTCAGAAACTACTCCTGACTCCCTTCTCGGAAGTCACTCCCAGCGTATGGGGGGCATGGTGCCATGAACAGTACACAGTCTGCCACGCTCTCTCTCTGGCTCCCTTTTAGGTGTTTCCCTTCTCTTCCTCTCCCTATGCACACCCCTGAATACATACTGTTTTTCTTCTTCACTTGCTAAATCATTTGAAACATCAGAGTTACCTTTAACTTCAAGAATACTTAAATATAATGGATGATTCATGTATGAAATACTGGGTTCAAATCCAGGGTCGCCCCTGTAAAATACATGGCAGTACCCAAGAGCCACATTCTCAGCACAGAAGTATTTTAATAAAAAGATTTGTCGAAGGGCTAGAGATAGTGCAGGGGGTAACAAGATACCAGGCTTAACCTGCAACACCTCAGCAATATCTTATACAAGGGAATAAGGGCTCCATGGTGAAATACAAAAGCTTAACTTCCTTCTACGGAAACATTCTTTGATCATCCTTTTAGCAAATTATTTATAAAAAGCAATGTAAAACAAATTAATAGGGGCCTGCTACGGGGGTAGGCTCAAGGGGTGGGTGGGAAAACTGGATTTAATGGTGGTAGAATTGGTTCTGGAACATTGAATGTCTATAGCACTGCAGCACTGTCCTCCATTTGCTCATTCACCCATCTGCTCGAGCGGGCAACAGTAAGGTCTCACAACAAATTGTGAGACTTGTTGTTACTGTTTCTGGCATATCAAATATGCCACAGAGAGCTTGCCAGGCTCTGCTGTGCAGGCTGGATACTCTTGGTAGCTTGCCAGGCTCTCTGAGAGGATCGAAGGAATCGAACCCGAGACAGCTGCGTGCAAGGCAAATGCCCTACCAAGGTAAATGTACTATCACTCCAGCCCCATTGGATGTCTGTAACTAAACTAATGACTGTAACTAAACTAAGTTTTTTTTGAAAAAGAAAAAGTACTATCAAACCAGTATGGAGGGCACTACGATAGTACAGTGGGGAGGGCTTTTTCCTTATGCATAGGCGACCCGGGTCCGATCCCCAGCATCCCATATGGTCCTCCGAGCACTGCCAGGAGTAACCCCTGAACATTGCTGGATGTGACCCAAAAAGGCAATAGATAAAGGTTTTAAAAATAAATAAAATTTTTTAAAAATCAAAAAAAATATGGGCTGGAGCGATAGCACAGCGGGAAGGGCGTTCGCCTTTCAAGCAGACAACATGGCCGACCCGAGTTCGATTCCTCCGCCCCTCTCGGAGAGCCCGGCAAGCTACCGAGAGTATTCGATATGCCAGACACAGTAACAACAAAGTCTCCAATGGAGACGTTACTGGGCCCGCTCGAGCAAAAAAAAAAATATGGAGACTCCTCAAAACATTAAAAACAGATCTATTATATGTCCCATCATTCCATTGCTGGGCATGCACCTGCAGAAAACAAAACCCATAACTTGAAAAGACTGTCTGAAGCTGGAAAGAGTATAAAGGTTAAGGCACTTCCTTTGCACATGGCCAACCCTGGTTCAATCCCCAGAATGACACAGGTTCCCTAAACACAAAGTCAGAAGCAAGTCCTGAGCACAGCCAAAACAGACAGACACACAAACACACACACACACACACACACACTCACACAGAATTTGGTTCACACATAAAATGGAATATCCAGCCATAAAAGAATAAATTCTGCTACTTATGTCAAGTTGGAATCTGAAGGCATTGTACTAAGTCAGCAAGACAAACAGTCTACAGTCTCATTTTTAGGAAAAAAACCTCCCTAGAAAATGAACTTAAAAATAGAGAGCAGACTGGTGGTTGACAGAGGCAAAGATTAGAGGAGGGAAAACAGTGAAATGAGGAGAAAGGTGAAAGTGAGCAATGGTGGTAAGGGCTACAAATGTCCAGTTATGAGATAAGGAAGTCCTGAATATGTAATACGCTACTGTGGCTACAATTAACAATATGACCCTATGTATATCTGAAAGCTTTTGAGAGTAAATTTTAAAGGTTTCTGCCAAAAGAAAATAAATCGTCATTATATGTGTATATATATATATATATATATATACACATATATATATGGGATGGATGTTAAGTAAACTTACTGTGGTAGTCATTTTGTAATACAAACATATATAAAATAATTATGCTGCACATAACAATACGAATCCACTATATGCCAATTATATTCCAACAAAAAAATATTTAAAGTGTCACTGTATATAAGAAGTAGCACAGAAGAGTCCCAATGAATAGGAAACAATTTTAATGCTCTCAAAGTTCTTGACTTATATAGTAGAATTGGAGACAAAATTAGAGGTTATATCTGCCGATCAACAATGGGCTCAAGAAAACATTAATCTTTTTTTCTGGGGAAGAGGCTAAATTTTAAGTACACTTTTTAAAAAATGAACCAGACTTCTTTTTCTTTATAAAAAGTATATACAAGGTGAAATCATTTAAGAAGGAATTCATCCACCAGAGGGGGCTCTTACAAAACAGGAGAAAGAAAATGCCAACATTAATTTACAAACATGGTAAGCAAATGATGAATCAATAAAACATTCTTTAAAATGACTACCAAAAAAGAATCACATCCACACAACACTGGCTACTTCTTATAAAGTAAAACCCTTTAATTCATGATTATGTGGGAATAATGGTCTAAAGGGTTTGTTGGTATGATACTGATTGCTCAGAAAAATTTCTAAGAAATATAATTTTTTCATCACTGTAACAGGCCCCCAGATTTATCTACACAGGTACACCAAAGCTAAACAAAACATATTCAACAGCTGTAGCTAACTAGATACCAACCGCAAGTCAATAACAAAAGTACTATTTATCCCTTCCACTATAACCATACACACAACCCTTTTTCATTTATTCTATGAAAATTTCTCAAGGCCCCATAAAAGCATTTTACTTGCTTCCCAACTATTTCTACTTTTCAACTGGTTTTGACTTACAATCTCTTTTTCAAGAATTTTAGGGTTTTACATTATCTTAAGGTAAAGGCCCTCCCGTTGATCGTCGATTTGCTCGAGCGGGCCCAGTAACGTCTCCATTGGAGACTTTGTTGTTACTGTGTCTGGCATATCGAATACTCTCGGAGAGCCCGGCAAACTACCGAGAGTATTCGATATGCCAGACACAGTAACAACAAAGTCTCCAATGGAGACGTTACTGGGCCCGCTCGAGCAAATCAATGATCAACGGGAGGGCCTTTACCTTTACCTTTACCTTTACATTATCTTAGAGTCTTCATTCTTTTCATTTATGTGAACTTACTTGGCCATATTCTAATATCTCTAAAACAGAGACACGTTGCAAGAATTCTGGAATTTAATCTCAATTCTACCATGTAACAACAGCTCAGGCAACTCATTTAGCATCTCAACACTTTCCTTCCCTTTAAAACTTACTTATGTTTGTTTGGGGGCCATACCTGGCTGTGCTCAGGGTGTACTCCTGGCTCTGTATTCAGGGATCACTCCTGAGGATGTTCAGGGGACCGTAGGGGTGCCAGGTGGCATGCAAGGAAAACACCTCACCCACTGTACTATTGCTCCAGCCCCTCATGTTTAATGGGAAATCATCCATGTTTATCTCTTGAACATCCTACTTACCATCAGAAATGTTATATTATACCGATTTGCAAATTATACCTAGAGGCTCTTTTCAACAAAAATGTAGTATTCATATCCATAGAAAAGATATAAGCCAAACAGAGAAATTTTCTTCACAAGTACACAATTTAAGGTAGCTAGCAAACAATGACCCCCTACTTCCTTAAAAAAAAAAAGCTACAGTTAAAGTTCTCTAGCACATCGGATAATCTGATAGAGGAAGTAACCCTTGACCTGGCTCTTTATTCATTAGAAAAAACGGGAACTTATGGGATAGAAAAAAAAAACAAACATAACTTTCATAAGTGTTTTCAGTATAAGGATGTAAGAGCAACTAAGACACCAAACGATAAGAGGAGGTCATGTATTGGAAACATAAGCATGTCACACAGGCTTCAGTCAAGAGTACTGGAAACAGAATCAAAGACTAAAAAGACTTATTACAGCCAGATCATGACGGGCTTTGAAACCAAGTCCAGAGTCTAAATTTTACTTTGTCTAATAAAGAGGACAGTTCTACGCTAGTAATTGTATAGTCAAAATATGAGTCTGCTTTTACACGTAAAATGCGTTAGAAAAATCTTTACTGTGCTAGTGTCTGAAAAACTGCTAACAGGCTATTAATCGGGTGGGTGCAGAAAGAACAGAAAGGTGTAAAGAGAAAAGTACTAAGTCAGTAAGATGTGGAATCAAAACTCAGTAAGACGTCAAAATTAATGAAATGTGGGAAGAAAAAGGAAGTGTGTTCTGTGGCTCCCAGATTTCTTTACAAACCATTTAACCATTTTTTTAAATTCCAAATCATATTCCAAATCACATTTTTACTGATCCAAATTCTTTTTTACCTATAAATAAATACTTCACAAAAACATAGGACAACTAATTGAGAGATCAAAATACTGGAAGACAGCGAGGGTGCCGTGAAGGGGAAGAGAATGGGCCACTTATTACATATGGCATACTGAAAACACACTGATTAATAGTTAGATTCAGGATAACAATAATCACCTGTTCATAAAATGGGAACCAAAATTCTGGAATTAATTCTTTTGTTTATTTTGTTTCAGGGTCACACTCAGTGATGGTCAGGTTCCTTCTGGCTCTGCTCTTAGGAATTACTCCTGGTTGTGCTCAGGAGACCATACTGGATGTCAGGGATTTATCTGGGATGGTCACGTGCAAGGCGAGCGCTTACCCACTGTACTATAGCTCTGGACCCTGGTATTAATTATTTGCTTATGTAAGCCCATGCCTCAGTACCTAAAAATGTATCTGAAATAACTATTATCATTCAATAAATACATTTGTGAATGAAAAAAGAAAAAAAGCGATTAACTGGCATGTACCACTGGTGCACACTTGAATGTGGGTTAATTAACACCAACTGCAGCACCACCATTAATGTTTTAAAGTTACTATTATCTATACACTGGTCTCAATGCTGACAATTCAACCTCCTCGCCCATTCTCTTATTTTTGTTTTGTTTTGGGAGCCAAACTTAGCAATGCTCAGGACCAACTCCTGGTTTACACTCAGGAATCCTCATGGCGGTGCTCAGGGAACTATATGAGATGCTGGAGATCGAATCCAGAATGGTCACATACAAGGCAAGCGCCCTACCAGCTGTACTATCTCTTCACCCCCGCCCCCCACTCTTTCCCTTAATAAAATATCTTCTGATCACTTTACTTTCAAAAGTGTAAACTGCAATATATTGATTTAGTAAAGATTATAATGACCATTTTCAGTACCCATGGAAAGTCAAAAGAAAATTTTCAACCAACATATCACTGGACAAAAATGACATCTAAGTTATAAGACTTTTTCATTCTGTAATTCTAGGATTTAATGATTTAATGGCAGAAACACTCATCACCAGACAAAATATTTCCTTGCAGAGTTCATCCTCGTCTTACCAGGTCTTTCCTTCCCCGTGCCTTTTGACTCCGCAAGTTTCTGAATCAAGCTTTCAACTGTAGTGTTAGCCATGTTATTTATAAATTCTTCATGGACCTATAAAAATGAGATAAGGACTTTAAAAATAAATATTCTGACTATATTTCAAACAAAACTTACACAAAGAAATTAAAATTCATTAAGCCAAAATATTTCATTTTTGGACTAAAAACTTTCCACTTAACTAACATGAGGCTAGCTAAAGTATCAGGAGATCTATGGGTACTAACGTATGTGAGTGCCTTAAGATGTGTTATCACTGCCTAAGAAATCAAGGCCACTTCACTTCCTATCTCCATCTTTGAGTGTTTCAGAAACATTTCTTTCCCCGCCTATGCCTTATTTAAACACTGTGTTTTACCAAGTTGTTCATGATGATTTGTTACAGGATATTCCAACACCAATCCCATCACCACTATTACCTACAGGTAATTCTTATGATAATGAAGACATACAGACAGTGAAAACAGCTTTAGATCCTGAATAATAAAGAGTAACAGACTTCACCATTTTCTACTTGTTTCAATACACCCCTGAACGTTGTACTAAAAAACAAAAGCCTCTTGAACATTTTTGAAAAATTCATAAGCACAATTTCTACAACTTATTGATGCAGATCTTCTTAATTTAAAAATACTATTAATATATTTAATGGTATTATAATACTATATAATAATATATGTACTTATAATAAGCACATATTCTTTATCTGAAATAATTTATCATCTGAGTTTTGGATTTTCTTCCCCAAGCCTAAGTCTTAAATTTTTTTAGATGTCATAAATGAACAACAACAACAAAAATCTTTATGAGTCAGCTCCACAAAAGTAAAAAGTTTACCTGGCCTATTTGCAAATGAATTTCCTTTATGGCATTAGACAAGGATCCTATAATTTCCTTTATGTGAATGAGATGAGTTTCTTCAATATCTTGAAATTTCTGGGTAGCAAATACAAAAGTTAAATATATATATATATACACACACACATACACACAGAGATAAAACACATACACACACATACACACATACTGAAAAATCAAGACTTTTTTTTAAGCATCATCTAATACAGCTAGCCAAATAAAAGAAGGAATCCTTAATTATACAACATTTAACAATGCTTCCAGATGAATGTATCTAGCACACACACTAAAATACAAGACTGAGGAAAAAGTTAAAATTTTTGTTATGCCGCTTCCTAGGAAAAACAAACCTTTTCAGCATTTGAAACATAAGGAATGGTCAAAAGATTACAAGATGCAGAAGATAATCATAGAGCCACAAACATCTTCTTTCAACTTTTGAAAGCTGAAAAACTGTATTATCTCTCCAGCCCTTAAATATAAACTCCTTAGTTTTATATTTAAGGGCTGGAGAGATAATACAGCAGGACGGGTGCTTGCCTTGCATGCGGCCAACCCGGTTCAATACCTGGCATCCCATATGATGGTTCCCGAGCACCTCCAGGAGTAATTCCTGAGCATTGCTGGGTGTGGCCCCAAAACAAAATAAAACCAAACAAAAGTTTAATTTTTACAGATTTAAAGACTTTATGGCCTTGTTCATAACAAAAGTTTAATTTTTACAGATTAAAGACTTTATGGCCTTGTTCATAAACTCTCAAACCCATATTCAGTTCCTGAAATGTTAGTACATAATCTACCAAAGAGGAAGTCTCTGATCAAAGAAATTTGGGAAAGCTTGTATACTCTATCTTAGCAGTTTTCAACTGAAAATGGGAATGCTTCAGAAAACCTAGGAAAAATATTTAAACTACAAAAACATATAAATCCTCCATTATAACATGACAGGGGTTGAAAGAGGGGAAAACGTTACTCGGAAAAAATTCCCAGGTCATTCTGTTTATTCATTCCCCAGGAAGAACGCCATTTACTACATTTGGCTTTTCAAAAAACATACCAAAAACTAGAATACTAAAATAACAAAACTTGTCTCACTCAGCTTAACCCAGTATTTTCCAAGTTTCTTTGACCACAAAACCCTTTTTCTATTTTCCTTCTTCTCTGAATATCTAATAATATTTCACAGAATAAAAGTATTCATTAAAATAGCATCTAGAAAAAAAAAATAAAATAGCATCTGGGAAATGCTGAACTAGTCATTTTCAAACAAAATACATTTGTCATTTCTATAGCAAAAATCTGATTACACACTTTTGGTCAAATTAGTTAATTGAATTAAATTTCCTCATTCCTTTTTTACTATCCAAATTTCTAGAGCATTGAATTACATGATCAGAAATCACTGGCCAAATGAATGATATTTATATTTGTGGAAAGGATCTGAACCTTAAAAGTCCAAAATTTGTATCAATTTTATTCATGAGAAATGAAACAGAGTTCTTGTAATTGACTAAGCCAAAGAATACTGTAATTTAAGACCCAAAATGTGTGTTTACCCTATTTTTTGGCTGTGCCTGGGACAGAACCAAGGTCCCATGTAAAGCTTTGCTGCTGAGTCATGTCTCACATCCCCAGCTCAAGTGCCAAATTAATTTTAGTAATTGAGAATATATGTTTACATTCAACACAAAGGGAAAAAAATTAAATACTCAAGTAAATTCGAACCTTTTTTAATACAGGAGCATGATTCTATTTATGCATATATACTGAAGTCACTCTCACCTTAAATTTCAACAATTAAATACACAAGATATTTTCTCATATAGAAAAACCTAAATCCAATCACTAATGTTGTATGTGTAAGTCTAAATTCCAAAAAACTATGCTGCCTTCTCATTTTTTTCTGAAATGATACCGGGTACAGATTCTATAATAATTACATAGGAGTATCTTGAAGCACAAAACCATACAAAAAACTCATAAAGGATTCATATGCAATTTTGAAAAAAAAATGCTGGATTTTTTTCTTTTAACATTGGTATAAAAATTATCTGTGTTTAATTTTCTGAAGTACAAATTTACCAAACCACCCCCATCCGCAAAGTGCCAAATCACTTCTCCTCCGTTCCTTGGACTATTATTTCTGTTCACTAACACTGTCCTGGATAAGCTCAGTTTTGTCCTGAGAGTCTATGGATTTGTCTTCATTGGAGATTATTTGAATGCAAAAACCAGGGATTTAAAAAAAAAAGCTGCAGGATGGAGCTGGAAAGATAGTACGGGTGGTAAGGCGCTTGCTTTGGACACCAGCACCCCAGCTAGCTCCCCAGATCTTGCCAGGAGTGATACCTGAGCACAGAGCCAGGAAAAAGCCTTGGGCACTGCCTGGTATGGCCCCAAACACACAATTTCTTTTTTAAAGTTGTGGTCTATATGCTCAATGGAATACTAATCAGCTACTTAAAAAGATGTCCTTTTATCCTTTACTACAAAGACAGATGAATTAGAGGGTGTCAAACTAAGAAAAGTCAGGAAGAGAAAGATAAGCCAAGGATGACTTCATTCAGACATAGTATATAAAGAAAATGTGCTGGCTTTTTGATGAAGAGAAGATTCTAAGTACCTCCATTATTTAAAATCATTAAGTACAAGACAAGTTAGCAATGGGAATACAGTCTCAAGTGTTTGAATATAAACATGTTACCTTTCCTAAACAAATGAATTAAATGTTTTTCCTTAGATCTTAAAATTCGTTTTGTAAATATGTATTGCTATATTCCTTTTTAAAAAGTAAAAATCTTGTCAGGCACTAAAGATGTAATATGGACCAGGAAGACATACAAGGCTCTGCACACAAGGACCAGGGTTAAATCCCCAGCACCACAGAGAGCACTGCCAGGACCCAATCCTGAGCACAAGGTCAGAAGTGATACTTGAACACCTAATGCATGGCCCCAAAAACAAGCAAAAATTTCATTTTAATCCTTACTCTGAGAGTGTTGCATAACTAAATCTTGCAATTTCTTTATTTAAAATAAAATAAAAAGCTCATTATTTCAAGTTTTTAAGAGTCATTAACTGACAGTGAAAAAAATTTACATGAGGCAGCCAGAGCGATAATACAGCAGGCAGGGCATGTGCCTTGCATGCAATAACCAGGGGTCAATCTTCAGCACATCAGATGCTCCCTTGAGCCCTGCCAGGAGTGATCCCTGAGCACAGAGCCAGGAGTAAACCCTGAGCGTTTCTGGGTATGGCCCCCAAACAAACAAACAAACAAAATTTATGTGAGAAGTCTCACACTTTAATTCACGTTTACATCCAACCCAAAGGAATAAAACTTAAATACCCAAGTAAATTCTAATCTCTTACTCCAAGGCCTCAATTTTTTTGCCCTCTATTAAACACAAGTTAAGACTGACATTTTAAGATTCATAAAGATCTTTTCTATACTTTTTTTCTATATTTTTCTATTCTTACAGAGTGCCTAGCATGAGCTGAGAACAGTTTTAAGTGCCAACGAAACAGCCGAAAACAAACCAATCCCTCTCTCATAGATGTCACACCTTTGTGGGAGAACATAGACAATACAAACTGAGTTACAGTGCTCTGACCACGGTTCTGGCCTCTCAAATATAAAGACTAAGATCAATGTTCTGGGAAGGGACTCCTCCTAGCCTCAATACCAGGGAGCAGGTGATGCAAAAAGCTAGAGTTGAGCCAACGCATCGACTTATGATGAACAAGTAGCATAATAAATATTTGCTAGTGAGATTTTTTTTTTAATAGTTCGTGTGGCACCTCAGCTTCCATACCCAATCTTTCCTCACTGATACAATAAATCAAACTCAGGCTATATTAGATAAAGATGTTCGCTAAGGAGAATTCAGGTATGAGTCATAAAAGGCCCATTCTAAACCTGGGCCATCTATTCGTGCTGAGAATGATTCGTCTCAAGCATATGAGAGACAGACATGTTTTTACCGTCTGTGTTCTCTGACTAAATTGGAAGTTCTATACGTGCAGTATTTTATTGTTTTGTTTAATGCTATATCCTCAGCACTGAGTCATTTCTAAATTTTCTCCTTATCACAGATCACAGATCATCCTGTTATTCGTCGATTGCCTCGAGCAGGCCCCAGTAATGTCTCCTTCATCCTAGCCCTGAGATTATATTCAAGGCTCTTTAGGAGAATGAGACCCATCATTGTTACTGGTATTTGGCATATTGGGTACGCCACAGGGAGTTTGCCAGACTCTGCCATGTGGGCAGGCTACATTCGGTAGCCTGCCAGTTTGTTAAAGTAGGAATGAGATGTCATAATAAGATGTCACGCGGCCGCGAATGCAGCCGCGCAGTTCCGGGAGCTGGTTTTTATAGTCTCTGAGTCTTGGCCGCTGATGGGATTACACGGCGCCAGGGGGCCAGTTGGTGGGTGTGACCCCCGCCTACTGGAATTTGGAGGATCTGGGTGGAGGATGCTCGACTCCAATCCGAGTAGGCTTGGAGATCTCGGCCCCGGAACCCACGTGGCTTTGTCCCTCTGCCGGTACCTTCAGGTGTGCGGAGAGTGGTCTCAGCATGGTCTGACCTGGAGGTCTTCGGCTGCCGGGGCCCTGGTCAAGGCGGGGAGGAAAGCTCAACCCGCTCCCCTCCAAGGGGCCCCGGCAAGGAATGATTTCTCCTTATGCAGAAATCAATTTTTTAAAACTAACAAACAGCTAGAGCTAGGGCTGGAGCGATGGCACATTGGTAGGGCATTTGCCTTGCACGTGGTTGACCCATCTAACTCAGGTTTGATTCCTCCGCCCCTCTCGGAGAGCCCAACAAGCTACCGAGAGTATCTCGCCCACACGGCAGAGTCTGGCAAGCTCCCCGTGATGTATTCGATATGCCAAACACAGTAAGAAGTCTCACAATGGAGATGCCCGCTCGAGCAACCTGATGAACAACGGGAGGACAGTGCGACAGTGCTACAACAAACAGCTAACATAAAGATAACAACCAACCAGCACTGTTTTTATCATGTCAATGTTCTTATTTTCCCCAATTCTCTTTAAAAAAACTTTTCTGATCTAGCTGAATTAATTGCTTATCGTATGGCTACTACAATTTGGTCTCAATCTAGGAAACAAAGTGGGTAATTTTAAGGCAGTATTACTAAAACATCAACCCTGTGAATTTTACATTCTAACAACAAAAAACTACATGTCGTAAAAATAAGTACTACTTATCTAGTACACAAAACCTGTTTTTTTTTAACTGAATTACTGTGAAATAGTTACAAAGCTTTCATGATTCAGTTTCAGTTGTAAAATTACCTGACTCTCCACCAGTGTACATTTTCCACCACCAATGTCCCCAGTATCCCTCCCACCACTGCCACCTGACCCCATCCCGTGCTTCTATGGCAGGCAGCATGCTTCTTACTCTCTACTTTGGGGCATCACGGTTTGCAATACAGATACTGAGAGGCCCATATGCTTGGTCCTTAGTCTACTTTCAGCACACATCTCCCATCCCAAGCGATCCCTCCAACCATCATTGACTTAGTGGTCCCTTCTCCATCCCAGCTGCCTTCTCCCCTAGCACATGAGGCAGGCTTCCACACCATGGAGCAATCTTCCCAGCCCTTGTCTCTACTGACCTTGGGTGTTAGCCTCTTATTATGTTATTTTATATCCCACAAATGAGTGCAGTCATCCTATGTCTGTCCCTCACTTTCTGACTCATTTCACTTAGCATGATCCTCTCCATGCATCCACTTTTAAGCAAATTTCATGACATTATCTCTCCTAACAGCTGCATAGTATTCCATTGTGTAGATATACCATTAGGCCCTCCCGTTGATCGTCGATTTGCTCGAGCGGGCCCAGTAATGTCTCCATTGGAGACTTTGTTGTTACTGTGTCTGGCATATCGAGTACTCTCGGTAGCTTGCCGGGCTCTCCGAGAGGGGCGGAGGAATCAAACTCGGGTCGGCCATGTTGGCCGCTTGTAAGGCGAACGCCCTACCCGCTGTGCTATCGCTCCAGCCATAGTTTCTTTAAAACCTGTTCGAATTTAAGGCCTTAAAAACTCCAAAGAGGGGCTGGAGTGATAGCACAACGGGTAGGGTGTTTGCCTTGCACACGGCCAACCCGGGGTGTTTGCCTTGCACACGGCCAACCCGGGTTTGATTCCCAGCATCCCATATGGTCCTCTGAGCACCACAATTCCTGAGTGCAGAGCCAGGCGTAACCCCTGTGCATTGCCGGGTGTAACCCAAAAAGCCAAAAAAAAAAAACCTCCAAAGAGACAGAGGTTTGCCGCCTATGTGTTAGATCTCGAGTCTGATCCCCAGCACTGCCATGTCCCACTCTAAGCTCAGCACCACAAGGGGGAGTACAACCAGACTGCACTGGGGCCGAGCTCTGCTAGGAGTGGTAACCATTTTTTTTAAAAGTGTAACTAAAATGATAAAAATGACAACCTGGTGATGGGATTAGGGTCGGGAGAGATTGAAGGGGGCCATTCTGCTGGAGAGTGTTGTACAGGACCGTATACATGGATGCCTATCATTAACAGCACTGTAAACCTCAGCTATTAATAGCATTGTAAACCAGATCTAAATTTTTTTTTAAATACCAACCTGAGCTGTTTCTGTCATTTTCTGTTCAAAATCAGCTTTTGCTAATGCATATTTTTCCACATAAACTTTATAGGTATCTGTCGCTTTCTTCGATTTAACAGCTGCCTATAACAAAACAAAAAAACATTCTGAACCATACAAATGACATTTTTTTTTCTTTTCTGATACGAGTCACAGTGAAATATGAAGCATTTTAAGAAATGAATTCGATGTAACCAACTTCAATACTTTTTCCACGTTTCCTTAGCAATATTTTCTGTTACATCTATTTTCCATGTGAAGGGACAAGCTCGATAGTCAGGCGCAGTCAGGGGCAGTCAAGTTAAGTTCCTCTGCTTCCTCCCCGTGCCCCCCTTCCCCAGCGGTGACCAGGGTCACACACATTTGGCTGCCTGCTCTGCTCTCTGAGCTGAAGAACTAGCTGGGAGTCCCAGATCCGGTGGGACATGATGCTTTGGGGGGCTGTGTTCCTTTAGCTATAGGGCTCCTGCACTTTCCAGCTGTCAGGCTTGAGAAGTGGTTAGCCAGACAGGGTCACTCAGCTGGCCTCAGCACCACTCCTCTCTGGCCCTGGTGCTCACTGGAGACCACAGCATCCTGAGCTGCAGTGCTCACACACCTGGCCATGGTGCACCAGAACTCACACACCGGGATGGGCTGAGGGTCCCTGTCAGCAGTCATGAGGACTGCAGGCTGGACATGCCAGTGGCACTGGGGCAGACAGGTGCTTTCTACTGTCCCCAGGGCCCCCAGAGTTGAGGCCACATAACCATATTGATGAGACACAGAGTCACAAAGAATTCAACCTACAAAACAGGGAAGGACAGGATCAGGAAACGCTCCACGCTTTCCTAGTTTGTGAGTCTTCTTATCTCCCACACAACGTACACATAGTCCAAAGAAGGTGTGATGAAGTGCAGAGCCAAAATAAGCCCTAGTACAGCTGGGCAAGCACCACCCCCACCCCCAAGAAAAAAGGGGGGAACTAGTTTGGGAGACGATGGAAGCGGATCCAATTCACATCAGCACTGTCTAGGTTACAGAGTCTCCATAGGGTCTATGTAGTTGTCTCATCCCTATAATGCGAACGGCGGCATCTCTGGTTTCAGAGCTGCACCACAAATGCCACCCAGCAGGAGCTTTCAGGGGGGCTGCCCTGGTCACCCCAGGTTCCAACTCAGCAGCAGTCTTGCAATGGTAGTTTTTAATTACCTCTTTAACTTGGGACTTTGGGCCAAAACCCACCCTGGTACACACCACACCAGGGGGATGCTCAGAAGCTGCTTCCACTCAATGCTTGGGGGTTGATTTTAGCAGTGTTAAGCAAACCAATAAGTACCAGGGAACCAGCCGGGTCGCCAACAAGCAAAGTATGTGCCCTAGCCCCGCCCCATTAATTGCTTTCATTTAAAAAAAAAAGTTTTTTTTAAATGGGGGTCCAAAGAGATAAAACATGAAGACACTTATCTTGCAGGTGGCCTCTCCTCCGGCCGAACCCTTGCTTGATCCCTGGCACTATATACAGTCCTCGCAGTAGAGCATAGTCAGGGCTCACTTCTGAGCACGGAGTCAAGAGTACCCCCTGAGAACTCTTAGGTATGGTATCAGCATCACAGTAAGGACCACCACCACCTCCCTGGAGGAGCTGTGGTCACTGGGGCCAACCCTGGCAATATGTGCCCAGCAGTAACATCTGAGTTGTCCATGCTCTTGTCAGACCTGCGGTGCTATTCAGCTATTCGGGCCCTAGGGCGCTGCTCCACCTGGCAAGTACTGGGAAGGCATGCAGTTCCCTGAGACTGAAAGTGGCACGCATCCCACAAGTGTGAGCCACCTCTCCGGCTCCTAGTTACTTCCCTTCAGGAGCACTGGGACACTAGCCACAGAGCTGGCGAGGCCGAAGGGCAGTTGCCTTGCATGTGGGTGATTTGAGTTGAATCCCTGGCACTGCACAGTGCTCTATCCCAGCACTTGCCTTGAATGTGCCAGGCAGGCCCTGGGTTTGGCTCTGAGCACCACTGAGTGTGGCCCTCAAATCAAAACAAACAAGAGTCCAGGATGTATCTCAGTGGGAGAACACTTGTTTGTGAGGCCCTGGATTCAATTGCCGGCTTGATTCCAGTAAGAATTTTGTCCCTAAACTCTCAGCTCCCAATAAAGCTTTAAGCCCTAGCCAGCAGTTCCAAGACTCATCTTTTTAACTTCAGCTTAACACAGCAAGTGGAGATCCTTGAACTGCAACTCAAGTGAGGACTATTTAGTGTCTTTCACAACTTAACAGATACATTTCACTAACTTGGAGCTTAAGTTCAATCAGCCTGAACAAAGTCTATAGAGGGCTATGGGTTCTGTTCCGTTTCTGATCACAAAGAGTAATATTCTTCTTTTTGGACCCTCTTGGTTTTGCCATTGTATGTTTTATTCATAATCGATGCATCTGGAACACAGGATATTTTAAAACTCTAAACTTTTTTCCCCTCTCGTTTTTTTTTTCATTTTGGGGGCAACACCTGACAGTGCTCAGGGGTTACTCCTTGCTCTACATTTAGGAAGTACTACTGGCAGTGCTCAGGGGGACCACATGGAATGCTGGGGATCAAACCCAAGTCAGTCACATGCAAGGAAAGCACCTTATCCACTGTACTATCTTTCCTGCCCCAACCCCTCTCAATTTTTAACTACAGATATTAAAGTATCATGCTGAGTGAATGAAAGGGATACCGATAGACAAAGAATGATTGCAATCATTCGCAGAACATGAAAAAGCATAGTATAAGAATAATATCTAAAGACAACAGAAACAAGGACCAGGGGAACTTCCATGGTAGGAAGCTTGACGAGGGGGTTGGGGAGTGAAGTCAGGACAAAGGGACCACCATGACAATGATAGTTGGAAATGATCACTCTGGAGAAGAACTGAGCACCGAAATGAGGTAGATATATATAATGACCTTCATAACAGTACTGCAAACTACAGTGCCTAAAAGGAAAAAATGGGCAGAGAAGGGAAGACAGGAAGACAGACAGACAGAGAAATTTCTGTCGCAGAGGAAGCTGGGGAGGTGGTGGTGGAGGGAAACTGGGGACACTGGTAGCAGGAAACGTACACTGGGTGCTGGATCAATGTACGACTGAGGCCCAACCATGAACAGCTTTGGAACTGTGTATCTCATGTTGATTCAACTTTAAAAAAATTTAACAGAACTATATTATCCCAATTCCACCAGCTGATGTATTTATCCAGATTCTTTTCTAGTATTTTCCCATATACATATCTGTGTAGTTTTTTTTATTGCAATATAGTTATAATTTGTTTTTAATGGTATTTCAAACCCTTTAAAAGACTTAAAACTACTACTCCCTATGGCTTATTCCTAAATGAGACGTACCACATCAAACAAGTGAATGGTTAGTTTAAACTGTTTTTGAAAGGGGGGGGGGGGGGGGGACTATAAGTCATTAAAATGCAACTTGAGGAAAGGGTTGTGGTTTACCACAATACTACATAACTGTGTTCCAAATCAGCAATATCATCTACGACAGATATTTTGAAGTTATCTTCAAGTATTTATGCCTCTCAAAATATATCAAATATACCAGTCTTGCTTCAAAAAACTTTTACCTCATTCTAAACCCTATACCAAAACATATTTTGGTATGTTATAAAAATGTTCTGTAAATATGTCACCGGAAGAGAGAAATCATTCCTTTTTATGTAACTGCTAATCTATTAACCAGGCACAAGTTATTTTGCAAGCTAACTGTTTCACTTAGATAAATTACTAACACTCAGAGGCATGGAGTTTACATCTTTAACACGAGGTTGCTCTTGAGAGTCTACAGATGAAACACAGTGCTGCACATAAAAGTGCTCTGAACCCAGAGTGCAGTACCTGTGTTGTAATTACCTTTTCTATTTCCCTTTGTGTAGCTCCTTCCTTTTTCAAACGTTCTTGCTCGACACACTTGGCATTGTAATTTTCTTTGGATTTCTGGAGGGCCTGAGTTATGCTCTGAATGGTTTGAACAGCTTCCAGAGTTCCTGCAACTTCTTCTTTAGTCTGTTTAGATATAAAATGAGTCATCAAAATAACTGAACTTTAAAACACTCAATTTTGAACCAATTAATCCTTTGACAAAGAAGATACCTTTTTATGTGATTTTACTTGTTCTTCACCATACTTCTGAACTTCCTTTATTAATTCTTGTAATTTTCTAACAAGATCTAAGTGACAATTTGCCAATTTCTCCGTAGATGTTTTGAACACATCCCACACTGGTGCAAATGTTCTAAGGGGAAAAAAAACAAGCATGAGAATAACTCACTGAAAGAAAATGTTTAAGGTTCTAAATTAGAACCAAAGGGTTCAGCATTATTTAGCTAAGCAAAAATGAAATTAAAATGAATTGCTATCATTTTAGTGTCTTGGTGTTTTTTGGTTTTATTGGTTGGTGGGTGGGTAGGTTTTTGGGTCACAGCAGCTATGCTCAGAGCTCACTTCTTGTAGGGCTTGGGGTGTCAGGGGTCAAACCTGGGTAAGACTCATGCAAGGTTACTATCTCTCCTGTCTTTAAGTCACTAATTTTTAAATATTATTTGAAAGTTTTTTGACCTCAGGTACACAAAAATGGGTCAACAACTTATCACAGATCTGACTAGTCCTTTCTAAATTAAACCCGAGAGTATTCGATATGCCAAACACAGTAACAACAAAGTCTCCAATGGAGACGTTACTGGGCCTACTCGAGCAAATCGACGATCAACGGGAGGGCCTTTTTTTCTGAACTGATTTAGTTATTTAAACCTCTCTCAAAAGCCTCTTAATACACTCTAGGGGCTAGAGCAATAGCACAGTGGGTAGGGCATTTGCCTTGCACATGGCCGACCCGGGTTCGATTCTCAGCATCCCATATGGTTCCCCAAGTACCGCCAGTAATTCCTGAGTGTAGAGCCAGGAGCGACCCCTGTGTATGGCCAGGTGTGACCCAAAAAGCAAAAAACCAGAAAAATACACTCTATCAAAAAAAATTAGCCTATCACATTTCAATTTTATACTATTAGGGTGTTCCAGACACAGAGAAACCTTATACTGCATTTTATTGTAAAATCTTTATAATCATTGAACTTTTGAACATCTTAACTAAAGATAGGTATATATATATATAGTCTGTCTGTTCGGGGGCCACACTGGGCTATGGTAAAGGTTTACTCCTGACTTTGTAGGAGTGAAAGGGATCATTCCTGGGGGTTCAGGCAATCCTATGTGGTGCAAGGATTGAACGTGGGTTGGCTGCATGCAAGGCCTTACCTACTGTATTATCTCTTCTGCCCTGTAAAATATAATTTCCCAAATTTCAGATAATAAAATTAGATTAAGTACTCACTCCAGTTGTTAGAATTTGGATCTGTCCACAGAGCCACAGAGCCACAGAGACAGCTCCATGCAGGCTGAGTACATGCTCTGTATGCCGGAGGCATATATAACTGCCTGATTCCCCAGACTGCCAGAAACAAGCCCCAGCACTGAGCTGGGAGCAGCCCCAGAGCATCACCAGTTAGTGTTACAAAACAAAAATAAATAAATCTATATACAATTACTTCTTCCCAGCATTGTTAGACTAAAAGCATATCTCATTTCAATAGATTATTTAGCATCTTTTATCGACGAACACAATGCTTTCAAAACCAATTTTTAAGAGGAAAGTTTAATGTCTATAAAAAGACTATGTGGAGTCCGAAGAGGTAAGTAATACAGTGGGTAGGGCATCTGCCTTGCACACTGCCTACCTGGGCTCGATCCCAGCACCCCATCCGATCCCCTCAAGCCTGCCAGGATCGAGCCCTGAGCACAGATCCAGGAGTAAACCCTTGAGCACCGTTGGGTGTAAAAGACTAATATTAGATATTTCAAGACTAAATATTAGGTATTTCAATCATTTTAATAAAATTAATTTGAAGCAAGTTCCTAAGGATTTCTGTTCATCAGAAGTTAAATGAATTGCAGGAAACTGAAATGAGATGCATAAGATGGAATATTTACAATCCCAAAATTACATGTGACTCTGTTTAAGGGGGGAAATGTTTCATTTACTTCATGTTCACTAAGTTAACAAGTTCAATTTTATTTCAATCAGTCAAAAATGAACTCATCAAAGACACAGATTAGGTAAGAATATTATAGATTACTAAAGCACAGCGGGTAGGGCGTTCGCCTTACAAGCGGCCAACATGGCCGACCCGAGTTCGATTCCTCCGCCCCTCTCGGAGAGCCCGGCAAGCTACCGAGAGTATTCGATATGCCAGACACAGTAACAACAAAGTCTCCAATGGAGACGTTACTGGGCCCGCTCGAGCAAATCGACGATCAACGGGAGGGCCTTTACCTTTTACCTTTACCTTAAACAAATTATTTATGGATTATTACACTCTCAACAGAAACTTAAGTCTTGAGAACTTCACCTACATCAACAGTTGAAGAGTTCTTCAAAGAAATCCACTCACCCAAGCTGTGAACAATTGCTTGCAGATTTTGCCAGCTTCGTCATTGACCTGGAGTACGCCTCTTCTATTGTAGCTCTGTTAAATCGAATTTCCATATCACATACTTAATAACCAAACACATACAAAACTATCTAAGTATCGTTAAATTACGGGAACAAAAAGATAACCCAAATTATATGTTAAAATTATGCAGGAAACGAAGAGCTGGGCTGGAACACCCATGTGCATGCAGGAAGTACAGGGCCATTGCCTGAGCACCACCAGAAATGCCCGAAAACACAGCCAGGAGTAGTTCTTGAGCACTGCTGGGTGCAGCCCAAAGATCCAAAATTTAAAGTAAGTGAGCAGGTATATGGTCCTGAATTTCTGGCCTATTTTTACTAGACACAAAGAATTTATCTAATAAATAAATAGAGCTATTTATGACACACACAAGAAAAGAAAAAAACACTTAGGAGAAGTTGCTAATTTCTCATCTTTAGTACCAGTTGACTATTTGAATAGGAGTATAAAAGTGTTCTCTCTGGGGCCTGAGCGAAAGTACAGTAAGACTGCTGCCTGGCACACAGCTGACCTGGATTTGATCCCTGGCGCCCCATATGGCCCCCTGAACCCGAGAGGAGTAATCCCAGATCATAGAGCTAGAAGGAACCCCTGAGCATCTTCAGGTGTGGCCCCCAAACAAACAAAAAATCACCAGAAACAGAAGCCACAGTGACATAGAGAGTAAAATACTTGCCCTATACACAGCAAACCCAGGGTAAATTCCTGGCACCCCACATGGTCCCTCAAGCCCACCAGGCGTGATCCCTGAGTGCAGAGCTAGAGTAAACCCTGAGCACAGCCAAGTGTGGTCCCTCAAAAAAGTTCAGAAACAGCAGTGTCCATGGGGATGCAGGGAACCCCTCACCCACGGTTAGTGGAACGCCATCAGGTTCAGACTCTCTGGAACAGTATGGAGACTTCTCAAAAAACTGAAATAAAATCCCATATGATGCTACCTTGTTAAGCCCTTGTGCTTGATCTCGATCTCTTCCTCTCCTTCTTCCTCCTATACCTATCTTTTCTTCCCTTCTATTTGTTTGTTTGTTTGGTGAAGCAAGAAATGGTCTATGGAAACATATTTCGAAAGATGTGAGGGGAGAGAATGGAAAAAGCACATGTTCAAGGTAGAACACAAGGCTTCTCCAGTGTGGAAAGAAGCAAGCATGGAGACAAGCTAGTGAGACTCGTGTTCAAGGGAGTACACGGGCTTGAAGAGCAAGTCTTTTTCCTTTCTAACACTCTCCTTTCAAGAATATCTGCTTCAAACTGTGCAACAGACTGGGATAAAACTGAATACATATTCTGGTCCTTGGGCTGGGAAATGTAAAGATTAATAGCAAAAATGAAAACCTATATAGTAAGGAGCAGTTAAAAATTAATCTTAAAAATGAACTCAGAAATTTCATAAATACATACCAGAGCACAGAACACCAGGTCTGATCCGAAACAAAACAAAAATCATAAATACTACAGAGATAGATATGATGCTTAGAAAGACTGTAACAGGGTACTTTGGTTTGGGGGTGGGGGCATTAAACTCACACCTAGCACTGTTCAGGAGCTGTTCCTGGCTCAGTGCTCAGGAGTGACCCCTGGTAGTGCTCAAGGGACCATGTTTGTTTTGTTTTGTTTTTTGAAGTAAAACAGATTTTATCCGAGGTTTTTAGGAAGGGGAAGGAGGGAGAGAAAGTGAGAGACCAACACACTCAAGAGGGAATACGGGCGTCTCCAAAGGCGGAGGAAGCCCCTACACACAGCATAGCTGGAAGTATGAAAAAGTACACATCTCAAGAGGGGAGATGTGGGAGCCATATGTGCTCGGGTACCACATAGGCTTGGTCACGCAGGCACAAGTAGCACCTGGGCTCAGGCAGCACATGTGCCTAGGGGACCATGAATGATGCTGGGGATTTGACTCTGAGAGGCACAGCCAATGTACGTGTGCTGCACGTAAGGCAAGTGGTTTAGCCACTGGACTATCTCTCCGCCCTATAACAGTGTGTTTTTAATGTGGTCACACTCGGCAAAAGCACCTTGGAGTAGTTATCACACTGCTGAGCTCTAAAGAAAAGGCAGGACCAACTGACTAGGTTAGACCAATAAGCATACACAAAACCTGAAGAAGACTGTTCAATCGAACAGCAATGTCTCAGAAAAGAAGGAGGAAGCTGGATGAACTAAACTATAAAGGTAGTTTGGGATCAGATCATGAAGATCTCTATTTAAGACCAATGGAAGGCCTTTAGAATGCTTTAAAGGCTTAAACAGAAGAGTTAACAAATCCATCTATGATTTGTCTTTTCCTGGGGACCACACTAGCAGTGTTCAGGGACTACTTCCACCTTGGGGCTTATGAGTCATCTCCTTACTCAAGGGCCCACATGGTGACAAGGATCAAATCAGGGCAAATACATGTGATCCAGGCTTTGAGCTATGTCCTCAGTCTGATCTTTAACTTTTTAAGATTCACTACAATTTTAAATTTTAGAGAGATAAGTACAGGGAGGTAGAATGTCTGTCTTGCATATGGTCGACCTCAGTTCAAATCCCTGGCACCACAAATATCCCCCAAGTAACACCAGAAGCCACTATTGAGTACAGAGCCAGGAATACCCCTGAGTACCATTGTATGTTCCAAACCCCCTCCATCAAAAAACAATCACTACAATTTCAGTGTAGAGAACAAACTACAGGAGAGCAAGAATGAATATACATAAGGCAGGTAGGTGCTGCAGATATAATCTGTTTAAGCAAAAATGACATTAGTTTTGATCAGAAACCTCTAGGGTTTATAGTCTAGTGGGGAGAGAATGCAACTGACTTAAATATCACTGCTGTAAGATGGAAATAAATGCTATGAAGAAAAATAAAGAAGGGAGGAGGAGAATGGAATGAAGGGCTGACTCACTGCCCACTGGATCATAAAGGGATTAGATTCTGGATTTTTTTTTTTAAAAAAGGGATGACCCAGGAGCTCTGACCTTCTTGTGGTGACTGATATAAACAGAACTAAAAGAATAATGACAACTACCCTCAGTACCCAGGTAGATAGAGTGACATAGGGAAAGGCTAGGAGTCATGCCAAGAAGGCTGCGGCAGGGAGAGCAGGCGGTGAGGGCTATAGTATAGCATGTAGGGCATTTGCCTTGCAGGTGGTTGGCCCAAGTTCAATCCCCAATACCCCATATAATCACAGAGCTCACCAAAAGTGACAGTTGAGCACAGAGATAAGAAAAGCTTTCAGCACCCCTGCGTGTAGCCAAAAAAAACCCAAACCCAAACAAAGAAACAAAAATTGGCCAGAAGACATGCTAGGAGATGCGGACTTCTAGAGTCCCTCCTTTATTCTTGGTCATGATGATGCAAAAGCCAACAAGGAAAAGGTTTGCACACCACCCTCTGACTTTGAGACTCCCTCTTAAAAGTTAAGAGGTGAAATCCTGATAATTTCCAGGTGTGGCTCAAAACCTACTCCCCGCTCCCAACACACATGCAAAAATAGTGGAGGGGTGAAAGCCATAAAGGATTGATATTACATGATACATTCTATTTCCCATTCCCATAACCAATTCGTAAACTCCCTAAAATCAAAATCTGTATTTTACATTATATTCCCACAAGCAAGACAAGCGCCTGGCACACAAAAGACACGGGATATAGGAAAGACAATGGAGAATTATATCTAAAGTCAAAAATGTCCCATGTCATCCAGGTAAAGATCTTGCATGTTCTCAATAAAAATTATCAAGGAGGGTGAACTACAAAATAACCAAATTATACTGATATTTTAATTGGTGCTCTGAGGGGAGGGGAGGCCCGTCAGGCAATTCCTGGCCAACCACTCAGGGGTTTAATGTGAAGCTCTGGATGAACACTGCCAAGACCCTGCAGTGCTGAGGACGACTCAGGTCACACTGCAGGCTCAGACATCCAGGACTGTACCCAGCAATTATCAGGGAATCCTGTGGTGCTGGGGCATGAACTGGGGCCGGCCACAAGCAAAGCATGTGCACTAATCCCTGTACTCTCTCTCCAGTCTATATTAACAGGTTTAAAACTGTCATTTCCTAAAAGTGGTAAAAACAGTCACACTATAAACTGTAGAATTTAAATAAAAGGCAGGAAAAAGAATTGATCACAAGTTTAAAAAAAGTCTTCAAATTATTGTAATCTTTCTTTAATAACATGTTTGTTTAAATAAGTGGTGATTACTCTTTCCTAAAAACTACCTCAAGTTTTTTGTTATAACAATTTACCACTATATTCCGTGACAAATACGTAAATATGTTCAAGCAGTGACCTGCAAACCAGGAATTCAACAATGTCACTTGAAACCACTGCTTAACAATTCTCAGTATATAGATAATAGACAACCACTACTTTAAAGTATTTTATTGCAGCTGAAAAAACTGTGATTAATTACTTGGGTGCAAATCCAACTAAAACCTTATTTAAACTCTAAAATTAAACTTGATAATGAATTTTTTATACTTTCTAAAAAGTACATACCTTTCTCTTACAAAATCTGCTAGTTCTTTTGTTGATATCTGTCCATGTTTCATATTGTGGTAAAGGACATCAAAGCCACTATTTTTTTCCCCCTAGAAATTAAAAACATTTTTCATTAAAAAAAAAGAATCACATGACTTATAAACAATCCTATATTAACAGGCATGGAATTACAATACCTAAGTGAGTTGTCTTTCTTTACTTAAACAATTGCCCATTTTATAAATTTTTATAAATTTAAGGAATAAATATGCCTTAATTTTATTAAGATTTTTTAAGTTTTTATTAAGATTTATTAAGTTTTTATTAAATAAATTTAATAAATAAATAAATTTAAGTTAAGTGATAAGTGATTTAATATTTAACATTTTATTAAATAATTAATAAAATGAAACGATTAATTATTAATAAAACTATTAATTAACTATAATTACTATAAAATTAATAAAATATTCTAAATAATATATTTATATATTATATATTGTAATATAATATAATAAATTTAATATATTTTATAATATAATATAAATATAATATAATAAGATATTATAAAATAATTAATAAAATTATTGATAAAATAAAAATATTCATAAGTAAGTAAGTAAGTAAAGGCCCTCCCGTTGATCATCGATTTGCTCGAGCGGGCCCAGTAACATCTCCATTGGAGACTTTGTTGTTACTGTGTCTGGCATATCGAATACTCTCGGTAGCTTGCCGGGCTCTCCGAGAGGGGTGGAGGAATCGAACTCGGGTCGGCCATGTTGGCCGCTTGTAAGGCGAACGCCCTACCCGCTGTGCTATAAAAATATTCATAAATAAATTTATTTAATATTAAATAAATTTATTAAGTTTTATTAAGTTTTTGTTAAGATGTAATCTATTTGTATATATATGTAATTATTATACTTACATACAAGATTCTCACAAATATACACATACTTTGTTATCACTAAATATGGGTATATTATTGGCAATTTTATAACCATATGAATTTAAAGGCTAAAATTTAAAGAAATAATATACAGATTAATTCAAGAAAGGTAAACAAATGCTTTTCAATATATTACTAAATTCCATTTCAATTACTTTAAACAGATATTAAGGAAATACTGATTATTTAACCTTTGAATCTGCTTAAGAATAACTAATCAAAGGGCCAAAGTGATGGTACAGTAGGTAGTGCCTTGCAAGTGACCCACCCAGGTTCAATCCCTGGCACCCAATATAGTCCCAGAGCCTATTAGAAATGATCCCTGAGTACAGAGCCAGGAGTAAGGCCTGAGTACCCCCAGGTGTGGCCCAAAACCCAAAATAAAGTAGCAATGTAGCACTGTCTTCCTGTTGTTCATCGATCTGCTCGAGTGGGCACCAGTAACATCTCCACTGAGAGACTTGTTACCGTTTTTGGCATACTGAATACGCCACAGGGAGCTTGCCAGGCTCTGCTGTGCGGGCAGGATACTCTCGGTAGCTTGCCAGGCTCTCTTGAGAGGGATGGAGGAATCGAACCCGGGTCGGCCACGTGCAAGGCAGATGCCCTACCGGCTGTGCTATTGCTCCAGCCCCCAAATAAAGTAAAATTTAAAAATACTAATCAAGGAGTAGGAGTGACAGTACAAACGGTAGGCGCTTGCCTTGCATGCTGCCCACCTGGGTTCTACCCCTGGTATCTCATATGGTGCCCTGAGCCCCACCAGAAGTGATTCCTGCGCTCAGAGCCAGAGTAAGCCCTGAGGACCACCAGATGTGGCCCAAAACCAAAAAAGTTTTTAAAAGGGGAATAACCAATAAGGAGCCAGCGATAGTAGGGTGGGTAAAGAGCTTGCCTGCAAATTGCTGTGGCAGTAAGCCTGGTATAAATCCCCAGAAATAAATATGGTACCAAGTACCACTCCAAAGCAGAGTCAGGAACAGCCCCTGACCACCACGGGGTGTGGATCAAAACCCACCCCACCCACCATCTCTCTCTCTCTCTCACACACACACACACACACACACACACACAAACTCAATTCTGGGCCAGAGATGGCTCATCAAGCTGGAGGATCTGCAGGATATCCTGGCACTACGTGGTCCCCTAAGTACCAAGCCAGAGGTAATCCCTGAGCACTGCAGAGGATAGTACAAAAAAACAATAAAATCTTGGGGCTAGAGCAATAGCACAGTGGGTAGGGCGTTTGCCTTTCACACAACTGACCCAGGTTCAATTCCCAGCATCCCATATGGTCCCCCCCCCCAAGCACCGCCAGGAGTGATTCCTGAGTGCAGAGCCAGGAGTAACCCCTGAGCATCGGCTGGGTGTGACCCAAAAAGCAAAAAAAAAAAAAAAACCCAAAAAATCTTAACTTGAATTAAGGCATCATATATAAGTACTATCACAAATAAATTATAGTTGCTAATATAAGTCTTTTAATACACTTGAGTAGTGAGAAAAGGTATAGACAACAAAATTAATTAAGGGGAAATTAATGGAACTGGGCAGAACAATCCTAGGAAGTTTAATGCTATTTAAATCAGTAAGTGTCAAATAAATTAGCAAGTCACAACAAAGAAAACATTAGATAGAAACTAGTAAGATCTTTACAGTTAACTTTTTCTTCAATTTTTCAAATAATAAAAAACAATATAAAAAGCAAAAAAAGTCAGACATAAAAAGCAATAATGTAAGCAAATATTGCACAATCTGGAACCCAACTCTTCCTGCTGGCCAAAAACAGGAAACATAGAAGTTTCCAGTTCTGTTGAAAAAAATCATTAATAAACTTGTCAGCTAAAATAACGAAGCTAGTTTACCATACAAATAAAAATGACATATTGTAAGGAGATGAAAACTACTGCTGAATTGCACGTATCCATTTTATCACCCTTGTATCTGAAGTGAATAAAAGGTAAAAGGTAAAGGCCCTCCCGTTGATCGTCGATTTGCTCGAGCGGGCCCAGTAACGTCTCCATTGGAGACTTTGTTGTTACTGTGTCTGGCATATCGAATACTCTCGGTAGCTTGCCGGGCTCTCCGAATATGATCCTATTATATCAACACAAAACTATTTTTAATAGGCTATTAATTCAAACAAGCACAACTTCCTTTTCCTTAGCTAAATACAAATATAGAGTTGTACAACTAAGTTGACAACAAACTTTATGATCAAGTAAAATTGCAATTAAAGCCCTCAGGTCCTCAATATTTTACTAAAACTAGATGCATGCTCTTTGATTCAGCAATTCTACTTTTAGAAGTCCGGTTAAAAAAAAAGGATATATTAAGGGAAATGTGGAAAATCAGTCACTGCAATACTCTATAATTGTGAAACAACTCTAAGACATCCATTAACATTACTAGACAAATAAATGACAGTGCAATACAGTAGCTTTTGTTAAAGGCTGCAGTTTTTTTAAAGGGTCTTAATGATTAATCTTTTAAAATCTACCCAGATATACTATCAGTGGGAAAAAGGGCAAGATGTAATCACTCACAATAGCCAAAAATAACCAAATGTTTGGAAAAATCGAATGTCCTTTAAACTAGAACGTCCATCAAACTAGTGAATGTAAAAGCAAAACGAAGTCTATCTACATAATAAAATGCAATTCAGCAAATGAAAGTAATCAACACTGGGCCGGAGTGATAATACATCAGGAAAGGTGCTGGCAGATCCAGGTTTGATCCCCAGCACCCCATATGGTCCCCCGAGCACTGCCAGGAGTGATCTCTGAGCACAGAGCCAGACACCAGGAGCACCACCGAGTGGGGTCCAAAAACAAACAAAAAGAACTAAACACTAATGTTTAGTTCTATGAATGAAACTCATTTTACTAAATGAAAGAAGCCAGACTTGAGATTATTTACATGATTCCATCTACATGAAATGTCCAGAATGGGCAAATAACTAGAGAGATAAAGTAGATCAACATCTAAGAGTAAAGGTAGAAACCAGCAGTTGTAAACAGCACAAGGAATTCAATTACAGAGAGGATGAAAATGTTCTAAAACAGATTCACGTCATTCACTACTCAGTCAAGTTACTTGGGGCCAAGTGCTAGTACAGCAGGAAGGGCATTTGCCTTGCACTCAGCCAACCCAGGTTCAATCCAAGTATCCCAAATGGTCTCCCAAGTCCGCCAGGAGTGATCCCTAAGTGCAGAGCCAAGAGTAAGCCCTGACACAGCCAGTGTGCACCCCCCCCCGCCAACAAAAACTAAAACAAAAACCTTCAATAAATTAATTTTTCAGGGGGCTGGAGCAATAAATAGCACAGCGGGGAGGGAGTCTGCCTTGCACGCGGCCGACCTGGGTTCGATTCCCAGCATCCCATATGGTCCCCTGAGCACCGCCAGGAGTGATTCCTGAGTGCAGAGCCAGGAGTAACCCCTGTGCATCGCCGGGTGTGATCCAAAAAAAAAAAAATTAATTTTTCAGTATTTTTAATTGAAATACTTCAATAAAGTAATATTTTAAAAAGCAAGAAGTCGAGCCCAGAGAGAGAGTACAGAGTCAAGGTTGACCAGCTGATGCTGGTTTGAATCCCAGCGGCCATATATTCTCTTGAGCACTGCCAGGTGTGGACCAAACACCCAGTCCCCACCAAAGGGGAGGAAGGGAAGAGAAAAATAATACATAGCATCTTTTTGGGTGCTGTGGTCTGCAAAAGAGGAATTGAGTGGCACAGCACCCAAAAGGAGAGAGAGAAAACAAAAGGGAATGCCCTGCCACAGAGGCAGGGTAGGATGGGCGGTGGGAGGGATACTGGGATCAGTGGTGGTGGAGAATGGGCACTGGTGGAGGGATGGGTACTCGATCATTGCATAACTGAAACCCAAGCACAAAAATTTGTAAGTCTACAACTATACCTCATGGTGTTTCACTAATAAAAATTTACAAAAATGATACATAGCATCTTATTTATATTGAAAAATATGCATATTTGTATTGTAAAAATCTGAAGACAGGGACCAAGGAGGTGTTTCTAATGGTAGACCCTTGATTCACTATTGGAGGGCCTCCTAAGAACCACTGGGTGTGACCCCCTAAACATAGTTTTGACAAAAGACAAATATATAGCATATAAAAAATAGTTGCTATATATAGCTAACT